CTACTAAGGTGTTCCCAGTCATGACATCTCTTCTACTAAGGTGTTCCCAGTTATCACATCTCTTCTACTAAGGTGTTCCCAGTTATCACATCTCTTCTACTAAGGTGTTCCCAGTCATCATATCTCGTCTACTAAGGTTTTCCCAGTCATCACATCTCTTCTACTAATGTGTTCCCAGTCATCACATCTCTTCTACTACGGTTTTCCCCGTCATCACATCTCTTCTACTAAGGAGTTCCCAGTCATCACATCTCTACTACTAATGTGTTCCCAGTCATCACATCTCTCCTTCTAAGGTGTTCCCAGTCATCACATCTCGTCTCCTAAGGTGTTCCCAGTCATCACATCTCTGCTACTAAGGTGTTCCCAGTCATCACATCTCGTCTACTAAGGTTATCCCAGTCATCATATCTCGTCTACTAAGGTGTTCCCAGTCATCACATCTCTACTACTAAAGAGTTCCCAGTCATCACATCTCTACTACTAAGGGGTTCCCAGTCATCACATCTCTACTACTAAGGTGTTCCTAGTCATCACATCTCTTCTACTAATGTGTTCCCAGTCATCACATATCTTCTACTAAGGTGTTCCCAGTCATCAAATCTCGTCTACTAAGGTGTTCCCAGTCATCACATCTCATCTACTAAGGTGTTCCAAGTCATCACATCTCTACTACTAAGGTGTTCCTAGTCATCACATCTCTTCTACTAATGTGTTCCCAGTCATCACATATCTTCTACTAAGGTGTTCCCAGTCATCACATCTCATCTACTAAGGTGTTCCCAGTCATCAGATCTCTGCTACTAAGGTGTTCCCAGTCATCACATCTCGTCTACAAAGGTGTTCCCAGTCATCACATCTCTTCTACTAAGGTGTTCCCGGTCATCACATCTCTACTACTAAGGTGTTCCCCGTCATCACATCTCTACTACTAAGGTGTTCCCAATCATCACATCTCTACTACTAAGGTGTTCCCAATCATCACATCTCTACTACTAAGGTGTTCCCAGGCATCACATCTCTACTACTAAGGTGTTCCCAGTCATCATATCTCTACTACTAAGGTGTTCCCAGTCATCAAATCTCTACTACTAAGGTGTTCCCAGTCATCATATCTCTACTACTAAGGTGTTCCCAGTCATCATATCTCTACTACTAAGGTGTTCCCAGTCATCATATCTCTACTACTAAGGTGTTCCCAGTCATCAAATCTCTACTACTAAGGTGTTCCCAGTCATCATATCTCTACTACTAAGGTGTTCCCAGTCATCATATCTCTACTACTAAGGTGTTCCCAGTCATCACATATCTACTACTAAGGTGTTCCCAGTCATCACATATCTACTACTAAGGTGTTCCCAGTCATCACATCTCGTCTCCTAAGGTGTTCCCAGTCATCACATCTCTTCTACTAAGGTGTTCCCGGTCATCACATCTCTACTACTAAGGTGTTCCCAGTCATCATATCTCTACTACTAAGGTGTTCCCAGTCATCACCTCTCTACTACTAAGGTGTTCCCAGTCATCACATCTCATCTACTAAGGTGTTCCAAGTCATCACATCTCTACTACTAAGGTGTTCCGAGTCATCACATCTCTACTACTAAGGTGTTCCGAGTCATCACATCTCTACTACTAAGGTGTTCCGAGTCATCACATCTCTACTACTAAGGTGTTCCGAGTCATCACATCTCTACTACTAAGGTGTTCCCAATCATCACATCTCTACTACTAAGGTGTTCCCAATCATCACATCTCTACTACTAAGGTGTTCCCAGGCATCACATCTCTACTACTAAGGTGTTCCCAGGCATCACATCTCTACTACTAAGGTGTTCCCAGTCATCATATCTCTACTACTAAGGTGTTCCCAGTCATCACATATCTACTACTAAGGTGTTCCCAGTCATCACATCTCATCTACTAAGGTGTTCCAAGTCATCACATCTCTACTACTAAGGTGTTCCTAGTCATCACATCTCTTCTACTAATGTGTTCCCAGTCATCACATATCTTCTACTAAGGTGTTCCCAGTCATCACATCTCGTCTCCTAAGGTGTTCCCAGTCATCACATCTCTACTTCTAAGGTGTTCCCAGTCATCACATCTCTACTTCTAAGGTGTTCCCAGTCATCACATCTCTACTTCTAAGGTGTTCCCAGTCATCACATCTCTACTACTAAGGTGTTCCCAGTCATCACATCTCTTTCCACTTTGTTGTTAACCTTCTTATTCTTTGTCTTTCCAGTGTTGATGTTGAGACCTATCTGTTTGCTGTACTTTGCCAAGTCGTTTGTCTTCCCTTGGATATGCTGGAAGCGATGAGCCAGGAGAGTAATATCATCTGCGAAGTCTAGATCTTCAAGTGACTTTTCAAATGTCCAAAGCAATCTTCTGTTGGTCTGGTCGGTTGTCTTTTTCATCCCCCAGTCGATACACGAGAAGCAGGGGAGGTAGCAAACATCCCTGTCTTACTCCAGTCTGTAGTGGGAAGCTGTTCGTGAGGTTGTTGCCACATATCACTCTGGCCTGGAAATCTTGATAGAGCATCTTGATGATGGAAATGATCTTGTCTGGTATTCTGTAGTGTGCAAGGATCTTCCACAGTGCAGGTCGATGGATACTGTCGAATGCCTTGGCAAAATCTAGGAAATTGGCATATACTGTGGCGTTCCATTCGTAAGATAAAATCCAACAGTAACATTACATCCTGTAAAATGTAACTCAATTAATATCAATTAAAATATTGAAGTCAGATTTTAAATGAGGAAATGGAAATATTTAATTGATGAATATAGAATGATGTTATCTCAAGAGGCTTTTTTTGGCTTACAATTTACAATTATAATCAATCATAAACAATGATAACAAAGTCAAAAATGGAATCAACACTTCCAACGGTCCAGAAACATGGTTTTATGTAATAATTTATGTCACTTGTTTTAATTTCTTTGTGTTTGATAAGTCAGTGACATCAGCATCGTGTTGGAAGTTAAGGACCACTTGTTCTCTCACTATTATAACAACTCACACTAATCAACAACCTCAGACCACTTCAATGTGTTATTAAATATTTAATCAAGTCTTTTACACACCATTTTGTAATTTGTATGCCCTTTTTATCTACTATATTTATGACTGTCACTGTAGGAATACTATTATCCATGTGCTGTAAAGTGTCTTTGAGTTATGTTGCAAATTATATAGGGCGCGATGTAAATGTTGTGTATTATTGTAACTTTTACATTAAAAACACATCTTAAGGATGTCACTTTACCAGGTTTCTATCATAGATGTGGAATAATGTAAGTGACATCTTCAAGTCATTTTTCGTCGTGTGATGATCATTTATAAAGATCAATGAACACATAACACATTGGATTGTTAGTGCTGTAACTATAAGAATAATGGTCCGACAACCCTTACAGAAACATGAACTGCAAACTATTTTTACAAACTTGTTGCAAAGTTGCCACAAACAATTTTTGTTTGTGGCAACTTTGCAGCAATTTGCTGCAAAGTTGCAAGAATATGTTCTTAGCCAAATTCTAAATACTACATACAAGACTTTGAAATGAAATAAAAGAAATGAATTATAAAAACGAAAAATTCTCTATACTAGAAAAGATGGAATGAAACAATGAGTGAGTGAACTGAAGATTTTCGAGAGAAAATTATGAAAAATGATGTAGCAAAACTTGAACATTAGTGTTTTATTTTTGTAAAAGATACATTGTGGTCCACAAAAATCTGGCAAGGTCTTTCCTTTCTGAATTCGAGCATTTCATATAGCTTTATTGTATAGCATAAATTACTTCTCAATTCTGTAAATAACGCAGGTTATTTTTTAATCAAACCTTGTCTGTTTAACAATCTCTTTTAAAGTTACTTATTGTCCACCTGGGTAACTAAAAACCCGCCTGGGCTTTAATTAACTGATTAAACATGGATGTTTTTAGTCCACTCAGATTTTTTCCATATGGATGGGAAATCCATTCGGATTCGTTTAAATATTACCTACCACTTTTCCAGGAGGAATCGAAAATCTGCCTGGATTTTCTAACCCACCAGGACTTTCCTATAAACAGAATCCTGCTGTCACGGGGACATTGATTTTGCTAGTCCACCCGGGTGTTTTTTCCAGATGGATTTTCCCTATCTGGAAAGACTCATTTACAACCTAAATATTACGTGCCTGTTTCCCAGGCATATTTCCATCAATTCCAAGCGGATACAGTAGAAACCATATGGAAAACAACTATAGCATTTTCCAGGCACTAAAATATCCACCTGTATTTTCGTGAAATGTCCATGCATATTCCTGCTCTAGTCTGTGTCTACTTTTTTGTACAGGATCTAAATAGTTTTAATCAAGTTAAAGTTGTTGAATTATATTCATTAAAAACCAGTTAATTATTTTCATGTCTTCTGTTTTATTTAGAGTAACTGTTTGCAGCAAAGTTGCAATATTTGTTTGCAAGAAAACTAATTTGTATACAAATTCTGAATATTTGCGGCAATTTGCAACAAATAATTGCTGCAACATTGCCGCAAATATTTGCAAGAAGTCTCTCATTTCCATAAGGGAAAGTGCATGAAAACCTAAAAAAAATACTGTATACCAAGAAATTTTCGCCAGTCAAATTTTCACCTTTGACAGTAAAATCCATTTTCATCCAATTTTATATTCGCCCTTCACATTTTATTACTATGTATATTGTTCATAAATGTTCGATGTAATGATAAATTTGCCCTCATTACTAAGGGCAAAAAGGGCGGAAACAGTGAAAATTTCTCGGTATGACCATAAGTTGTGAAACACAAAATGCAGCTAAATTAGAAGTATGTTTTAAAAGGTGCTACGTAACTGGACTGAACTAATACAACACTATGATTGATTTTTTTTAAATGACTATATTTAACAAACTGATGTTTGTAAATATTGTAAAACCTGTGAGAATGTGTCAAATCATTGAGCTTGAGAATGAAACATCTCCTTGAACAGTAAAATACATTTATTGGCAACTGATTCATATACATCAGTCAAAATACAATAAGGCATGCTTGTCATCATTTCCAGGGTAGCACTATTTATAGCTTAATTCTGTTACAAGAGTTTTGAATAAATATGGCTGACAAGTATTTTCTGAAATGTTCATCCACCATGTCGTAGTCCAAAGATTGTTGATCAAATCCAACGTATGTACTATCGTCCTACACAATTGGTCCATGGACTGAACATCCAACTCAATAAATCTGTAAACTATAGTCCAACTTAAATGCTTCATCGATTGAACGACAAACTCTAGAGGCCAGAGATAAAATGTTAATCTCAATGGGTACATAGTTTGTACATCACACTCATTCGCAATCGGGAGCTGTCGGCATTTTCTGATTCTCGTTTACGGAAAGTGCCGACGATTATTTCATCCATAATTTGAAAGGCCTTGAAATTGTTCCTCTAGAAGCAAGGGTCAAAAATCTGCTCATCCAACATAATAACCTTGATAATCCAACCCTTATCTTTTCTAGAAAAAAGACGGAAACAATCATTATAACATGATCTGTGGTAATAAACAAAATCATTGCCTAAAATCGGTTGAAATTTAAATTTTTGTATTACATACTGAATCTTGTAAACAATCAATTTATATGATAAATATACAGTCATTCTCTGCATGTTGATGATTTATTTTGTAAAATTCTCCCTAAGAAATGAACATCAGTTTTAAATTCAGAAAACCACGCGTCTGCATTAGAATTGACCTCAAGTTTACATTTTGTCCACAAAACCTGACAAAATGTAACCTATAAACAGAATATTAAATAATACACAGAATATAAAATAGATTGAATGATTTTCAAAAGAAAGCACTCCAACCACAAGTTTGTAGGTACTTAGAGGGTAAGGATTTTCACCTTTTTCTGAACACTATTTTTGCCTTTCTTGTCCTTCCTGTTGTTTCCATCTTTGCTGCCAGAGTGACATGGACGTTTCTTTTTCAACTTGGTGTGTTTGTGATTGTCCTCAGAATAAGATGGTAGCCCAAGCTTCGGACATTTGCTCAGTGCCTTTTCCCAATCATCACCGCTAACACATTGTACACCTGTAAGACACATAAAAACACAGACAAGAGGCCCATGGGCCTAAACGGTCACCTGAGTCTACAGTATTCATTTTTGTTGCTGAAATATGTACCAATTTGAGTAAAAAATAGTATAATGTTAACTTAACTTTGTCAGGACCATGAGCTGATCATTCCTAGACCAATTTTAAGTGAGATCGGCCTATTAGAACTTAGTAGCAAAATAGCGGCCATGGCAGCCAAATTGTATTTCTGATTGACCCGAAAAATAACAACACTTTGTCAGGACCATGAGGCGATCATTCCTACCAACTTTAAATTCAATCGGTCCAGCAGAACTTGACTTAAAGTTTGAAATAGGTTTTCAAAATGGCGGCCGTGGCGGCCATATTGGATTTCTGATCGACCCGAAAAATAACAACACTTTGTCAGGACCATGAGGCGATCATTCCTACCAACTTTCAGTTCAATCGGCCCAGCAGAACTTGACTTTAAGTTTGAAATGTAAAATGTTAACGGACGACGGACGACGGACGACGGACGACGACGGACGAAAACGGATAGCAATAGGTCACTTGAGCTAAAGCTCAGGTGACCTAAAAAGTCACACATTGTATACATGAATATCGAGAAAACTGACAAATTACAATTACACCTGTATGGAACATACAAACACAGGTACATACTGCACACCTGTATGACATACAGGCACAGGTAGGTCACACATTGTACACCTATATGGGACATACAAACACAGGTACATACTGCACACCTGTAATAACACCTAAATGGTACATATTGTGTACCTCAAAGGGATTTCTTTTTGTGTTCAATTTACACATAATGATGAACATTGACTATTTGGCATGCAACTATTGGATATTGTTATTTTCATTTCATCTTTCTTGCCAAAATTAAAAAAAAAAAAACATACTTATGCATTCACAAATTCGCGAAGTTGAATCTCTCATAACGCAAGGAAGCATCAATACAGTACATATACTTGACATACTGAAGCCTGTGTTTACCTATTTTATAAGCAAGCTGCTGTACTTCTTCCTTGTCAGTAGTGTCACACAAACCATGAACAACAAAGTCAGTGACACTGGACAATTTCTTGTCTACAGTGCAACCATGCATCGTAGCTTTAGACACCAATCGATGGAGGTCGTCCTGATACATGCCTGTGAACAACACTCGACGATTATTCATATTAACCACAGGACCTATAACAAAAAATCAACATTACAACGAATACCAGGAAATGCAAACCTTCATTTTAGTGTAAACACGTTTAATGAATAAATCAAAATATTCCAAAAATAAACTGGCCTTCTCACAGAAACCATCATATTTTGAATAAAAGATGTTTTTCTTTGATAGCCTTTTTTTCCATTAGGATGCATGGCTACTATCACTGAGAAGAAGACGGTGTAGTTTTACAATCGTGACTTTACTCACCAGATTCACTGTCAGGTGGGCTTTGATTTCCTTGGCTGCTGCTGCTGTTAGCTCCTGTCATCCTCTTCTGGTCTTTGTTCTTCATCAAGATGGCTAGCATCACTGATAAGAAATACAGATTATTATGCAATTATGATTTTTGTTTTTCACAATGCGATCCTAATGTTGCTTTCCCAGCTCACTTGAAAAAATGTCTCAAGTCTCAACAAAATGCTGAGTTGTTAAATGATACTCTGTATCATAAATTTACAACTGAACATGTATGTGTCAAGCTGTGAGAACTCCCTATCATCTATATAAGATAACGACAGTGTCAAGCTGTGAGAACTCCCTATCACCTATATAAGATAACGACAGGGTCAAGCTGTGAGAACTCCCTATCACCTATAAAAGATAACGACAGTGTCAAGCTGTGAGATCTCCCTATCCCCTATATAAGATAACGACAGTGTCAAGCTGAGAGAACTCCCTATCACCTATATAAGATAAAGACAGTGTCAAGCTGTGAGAACTCCCTATCCCCTATATAAGATAACGACAGTGTCAAGGTGTGAGAACTCCCTATCACCTATATAAGATAAAGACAGTGTCAAGCTGTGAGAACTCCCTATCTCCTATATAAGATAACGACAGTGTCAAGCTCTGAGAACTCCCTATCACCTATATAAAATAACGACAGTGTCACGCTGTGAGAACTCCCTATCACCTATATAAAATAACGACAGTGTCAAGCTGTGAGAACTCGCTATCACCTATATAAGATAACGACAGTGTCGAGCTGTGAGAACTCCCTATCACCTATATAAGATAAAGACAGTGTCAAGCTGTGAGAACTCCCTATCGCCTATATAAGATAACGACAGTGTCAAGCTGAGAGAACTCCCTATCACCTATATAAGATAAAGACAGTGTCAAGCTGTGAGAACTCCCTATCACCTATATAAGATAACGACAGTGTCAAGGTGTGAGAACTCCCTATCACCTATATAAGATAACTACAGTCTCAAGCTGTGAGAACTCCCTATCACCTATATAAGATAACGTCAGATGGTCAGGTGTGGCAGTGGAAAGGGCACTGTAATCCTTTCACCACGATGACTGGAATTCAATTTTCCATTTGTATGAAAAGATATCAGGTCACTTGCCAAACGATCTTTTTTTTCTGGATGCTATGGTTTTCTCCGACATCAAAATTCCTGCACGTTAGCCTCCTAGCCAGCAAGAGTGATCAATAGAAAATGACAGAAGTTGTTTCATAATTGTTTTAAATCAAGTTTAAAAAGTACATAAGATTTTGGCCAGTTTCTTTTTCTTCATAGGAATGAATATTCATACTGTACATATTCATCTAAATATTTTATATGAATTATTTTATAACGGGGGTCATCTAAATATTTTATAACTGAAACTAAATTTAAACATTTGAATCAAGCCTTGATTCACTAACAAGAGTATCAGTGTCGTTTGACAATTCAGCGGTACTTTTACAAAACCTTCCAGAACATACTCGTCTGTATAAGTCCTCATTCATTAGGATTTGACACTAACACTAGTCCTCCAGTCCAAGACTACCACCAGTTAGTTAAACAACAAGGACTAGTGAACTACATAACCTAACTGGTCCTTTCAACTTGTGAAATTATAAAATAAGAATACTCCTTTTTGAAAACTTCTTAAAATATAGATATACTGTATGACAATTGTCAAAATCTTCCTAAAAATTCACTAAATGTCATGACAGGAGTTATTTTATGTCTCCAAATTTAACTCCTTCAATGTTTTGTGCTGGAGATGTTTCTTTCAGGAAAAGTAACAGTTAGACTAGTTATATTGATGTAGGACTAGCAAATACTTTATTCAACTAGTCCTGTGGACTACCAAGCAAAAATAGTTAGTGTCTAACCCTGTTAAAATCATTCAGAATACTGTATCTAATAGCACAAGCACGTGATGTAAAACCTAACCAGTATAAGAGATATTTTTTTTGGCTATTTTTTTTATTTGTGCAGAAGAAGGTCACCGTAAGTGCCAATATTTATCTTTGAATGTGATAACGTGGAACTGTTTCATGCCAACAAAGGTCTTGCTCAAGGCTCAAAAGCATGCTATTTTTTTTACCCTGGATGAAACCCTATCACAGATCAACCTTATATAAAAAAATCCTTTGATATCTTATATAGGTCAAGAATTAGATCACATTGACCTACTTATAGTAATTGACATTCTGTAATGCAATAATCGCAAAGCAAAACTATTATGTGGTGATCCTATACGGAAAGTCTCATAGACAACTCAATGAAATGCTTCTAACTAAATTCTCATAAATGTGTCAAGAAGTAAGTCAATGATCTACTTTTGATAAGAAATATTCCGTCATTCCAAGTTGTGTTATTTTATGTAAAAAATACTTTTATATACTTTAATGGCTATAAGTTACTGGTGATGGATTGAAAATATGTAGTGTAAATTGTAGGGGTTTATCTTCTGATCCTATAAAGAGAAGGGACATTTTTGAAAAATATAAAAGTAAATATGATATTATTCTTTTGATTGATACGCATTCAAAGAAGGAAGTAGAAGGCCATTGGAAATTTGAATGGGGATACGAAGCTTGGTTTAAAATACATCTTTAATTTTAGGGGGTGACTGGAATGCATCACAGAGTTATGTAGAAGACACAAAAAAATACGTTAACAGGAATAATGAAGCTAATCAAAAGGAAATTATATCAATTATGGAAAAATTTGATTTAGTAGATATATGGAGAGAGCAAAATCAGGATAAGAACTTTTTTACATGGCATGGTCCACAGAGAAAACAAGCTAGACTTGATTATTTTTTAATATCTTCAGATTTAAATCCTTTTGTATGTAAAACGGGTATTGGTGCAAGTTATAGGTTGGATCACTCCCCAATTTCTTTATCTATAAAATGTATTGACCAGCAAAAGGGAAAGGGAACATGGAAGTTTAATAATAGTTTGTTAAATGATCTGGATTATGTTGGTCTTGTCGAAAAATGTATTGGAGATTTTATAGATATATATGCTACTCATCCTGAAGAGGAAGATATAAACCTTATTACCTTTTCAATAAGTGATAAATTGCTATGGGAGACTTTAGAAATAATGATTAGAGAGAAAACTATTGCTTACTCATCATATAAAAAACGGGCAAGAGATAAATTAAATAAGAAGATAGGCAGTTGGGGGCTATTGAAGAAGTAGAAAATGAGTTAAAGTTCATTAGAGACAGTAAAATTAAAGGAATTGTTTTGAGAGCAAAAGCAAGCTGGAAAGTTGAAGGTGAACAGAGTTCCAGTTTTTTTTTGCAATTTAGAAAAAAGACTTTATCAAGAAAAGTTAATTCCAAAGCTTATAACAGAAACTGGCGAAGAAATAACAGATATACAAGACATTTTAGGAGAACAGAAAAAATTCTATCAGACGCTCTATACTAGCTCATACACAAATGATAATGTAGCAAATGACTTCTTTTTTGATAATGACAATCCCTTTATAAATAAACTGTCCCTGGAACAAAGTATCCAGCTAGAAGGAAAAATACATTACCATGAATGTCTTAAATCCTAAAAAAATATGAACAATAATAAATCTCCTGGAATAGATGGATTTACTGTAGAATTTTTTTTTTGGACAGATATCAATAGGTTTTTAATTAATTCACTTAATCAAGCATATGACGAGGGACTTCTATCTATAACACAACGTCAAGGTATGATTGCATGTTTTCCGAAAGAAGGTAAATCTAAATTACATGTAAAAAATTGGAGGCCTATTACCTTACTTAATGTTGACTACAAAATTGTTTCTTCAGTTATTTCAAATAGAATTAAAACAGTTTTAAACAGTATAATAAGTGAAACACAAAAAGGCTTCCTTAAAGGAAGATATATTGGAGAATGCACTAGACTAATTTATGATTTAATAGAAAATACTGAAAAAGAAAATATCCCTGGATTATTGTTACTTATAGATTTTGAGAAAGCCTTCGACTCTCTAGAATTTAATTTTATCTTTAAAACGCTTTCCTTTTACGGCTTTGGTCCTTCTCTTTTACAATGGATAAAAACTTTCTATAATGAGAATTCATGTTGTGTAATAAACAATGGACACTGCTCCAATTTTTTTAATGTATGCCGTGGAGTTAGACAAGGCGACCCTATTAGTCCATATATCTTCATCCTATGTGTAGAAATGTTAAGTTCAGCAATAAAAGTAAATCCTAATATTAAGGGTATCAAAGTAAATAATTCAGAATACCTGATAAATCGATTTGCAGATGACACTTCCTTTACTTTATCTGATGATCCATATTCCTTAAATTCTGTTCTTGAAATTTTAGATGATTTTGGTAATGTTTCTGGTCTTAAGATAAATATTGAAAAAACACAGGCAATTTGGATTGGGGCAAAACGGGGTTGTGGAGAGGAAATACTTCCAGATAGGAATTTGAATTGGAATCACCAAGGAAATTTTAAATTATTAGGTATCTCTTATAACTTTCAATTGGAAAATATTTTGGAAGATAATTTCAGACAAAAGTTAGTCACTGTCAAAAAGCTACTAAATGATTGGTCATTCAGAAACCTTACATATATTGGCAAAGTAACTGTTATAAAAACTTTAGCTCTGCCCATTTTTATTCAAACATTTACTGTCTTACCAGACCCACCCTTAGAAATGGTCAAAGAGCTACAGAAATATTTCTTTGAATTTTTATGGAACGAAAAAGTAGACAAAGTAAAACGTACAGTTATGTATGGGGATTATAATGAGGGAGGTTTACATGTACCACACATTATATCTCTTTGTCATGCCTTAAAAATGTGCTGGATTAAAAAAATATTGGATCCATTAAATACTTCACCTTGGAAGACACTGATATTAGATAAAATTTAACCATATGGGGGAGATAAAGTCTTTAAAATGAAAAAAGAAGGGCTGTTAAAAATTTCTAAATATCTTTTGGAGAGAAATATTCACTATATGGGCAGAGTTAACTGGTGATGAACTCCCCACCACCCCAGACACTGTTGCTTCTGAGCCGATCTGGTATAATACCTTCATTAAAATTGATAATAAGATTTTTATTTATAAACATTGGTGTGGAAAAGACATTTTTTTTATTTGAGATCTTGTTGAAAACAATAGTTTTTTAACAAATGAATACTTTTGTGAGAAATTCAATTTGGATGTTAATTTCATTGAATTTTTGGGAATTTTAAATGCAATACCAAGGTCATGGAAACTGATTTTATTTCAAAGAAATGAACCAAATGAGGCAAAACAAAGTAAATTTATTCAGTATTTGAAGAAACATGAAAAGGTTACAAACTATTTTTATAAATTTATGCTGAAATCAGTCACAGAAATACCAAAGAAAAGTCAAGATGCATGGCAGGAAATTTTACATTTAAACATTCCCAAAGAATCCTGGTGTAAGTTTTATTCAATTACGAGATATATTACAGATGATAGTCTAAACTTCAGAATTTTCAGTTCAAACTCTTTCATAGAATTTTACATACTAATACCAAATTAATGCAATGTAAATTGAGTGAAACAGAAAGATGTACATTCTGTGGTGATGGAAGAGCAACATTAATACATTTACTATGGGAATGTTGTCATGTACAATCTCTTTGGTCATCCTTTATGTATCTCTTGAGGTCACAATATGAAATAGACTTAGCAAGAGACCCAGTTATCATGTTGTTTGGTGTTTTTGAAACTGAAACTGAAAATGAAATAAATTTCTTGATTTTAATATTAAAATATTACATGTACATATATTTGTGCAAATTAAGGAGGAAAACCCCTACAATTACTGAAAGGAAAACTTACATGGTTTTTTTTATAAAAAAAGTAGAAGAGTGTAGACTTGATACATTTTCAAATAAAAAAAAGATTATGGTAAACCAAAAATGGAATTTCATTGACAGAATGCTTAATATGAATACATGATTGGAGTTGTAAGCATTTTTTTTCTAATTTTTTTTTTCTCTTTTTTTTTTTTTTGATACAATCTTCAGAGTTAAAACAATCATGAAATATGTCAAAATTAATGTAGCAATGTAGCAGTAGTTTTATAGATGAAAGTTCTGTTCAAAGATATAGATAACATACGTACAGTGGCCTTTCATTATTCTTACTGATATTTACATATTTTTGTATGTTTTGAATGCGACAACAAAAAAATTGAATATTTTTTTATTTTTTTTTAAAGTTGTGTAACAATACTGATAACAAAATGTATGTGCATTGCCTCAAAACAAAAGCAAAAAAAATGTTTAAATTTAGAATTATTTATGTGCAATGAACCCCTTGAACAAGTATGCAGTGGGAAACTACTTGGCATGCATTTTGAAAATGGATTGACATGGGGAAGTCATGTTACATCTGTTTTATCTAGAATAAGGCAAAGGTTACGGTTATTGAGACGCATAAGCCCATATCTACCTACGGAAGAAAAGCTGAACATTTTTTAATTCTTGTGTTTTCCCACATTTTATGTATTGCAGTACGGTATGGTCAGGGTGCACCGCAAGCTGCTTAAGACTCAGAAGCAAGCAGCTAGACGAATTTTAGATGTACCATTTGACACACCTTCTAGGCAAATGTTTGAATTCCTTAGATGGATGCCGATTGACAAATAATATTAATATAAATGTCAAGGTCACTCTAGGAATACAAGATATGCTATCGAAAAAAATTTGCCAAAACACAGAACTGTTTTTTATTCCAGACACTCCCTTATTGACAGTATTAACGACTAGAATGTTTTACCGGTGACCTAAGTCTTTCAAGACAAAATGTTTTAAGCACTTTCTTCACCTCTGAATTCTAGTTTGATCCATACATATGCTGTATCCTCCATGTTATCAAGTCCCTATACTAGAAAGATTACAATCTTTGCAATATTGTCTGTAAATTACTATGTATATGCTTCTTGATTTCATATTTAAGTATTGATAATATAATTGCATTGTGTCCATGTACAATTAATTAATATACATTTTACAGCATCATGTTTGGCTGTAATTATGCTAGAAGTGTATTTCAAATCTATGCAATGTTGCCTTTGATTATACCTGTATATATATTTATATTTAATGCTATTACTCTGTATATATTATTGCCGTAGATTGTAGAGAAGGCTTCAAGGGAGATTAGTTTTGTAACTAATTGAGCTACCTTCTATAAATAAAAAAATATTAAATGTATTATTATTATTATTAATAAAGCTAAAAAATAGAAAATTTCACCACTTTCAAACGAAAACTTACTAAATATCAATGTCTTAGATTTTAACTTGTTCTCATGTAACCAAAACTTGTTGCTTTCTAAATAGACTTCTTATCTGAATTATATCAAAATTTTAGATTATGCTATATTAGCGTATAATTATGTCAATTTTTATTGCTTGCAATACAAGCATGTATGTATATTGGGCACATGCCATTTAACTGATGAAATAACTTTGCATGAAACTTTATGCATTCTGTGACACTCTTAAGGTACTAGGATTGTGTCACCATTTCTCAGTAGAATTTCTGGAAATTTTATAGTTATATTGCTTTGAATAAAAGAAAAAAAATCTGCCACAAAAAAAATATAGTTTGTCACAATTTTAAGGATTTTAAACGGAAATTTATGTAAAAAGGAGTGAATTTTGAAAAAAAAATGACACATTTTTTTCCAAAATAATGTCAATAAAAATTATACTGACATATATTAGTATTGCATTAATGTATATCAATTTAATAAATGGTGAAATTGTGTAAAATTAATTATCTATAACCGATTAAAACTTGACATTTTATAATAAACCCATATAAACATAGTAATTGCAGGTAAGAGTTATCTTTCTTGAAAAACTTCACAGTTAGTGAAATAGGTAGCCGGTTTCCTGAAGTACAGAAAAATGGACACATGTGACTCATTGATTTAAAATACCACTGAATTAATGCCTGGATTGGTTTGAAATACTTTAATATTGAGAGAAAACACTGTTCTGTCAATAATAAACATACAATATTCATCAGTTTAATATTAAACATTAGAATATGCGGAAATTGTGATACTGTCTCCCTACATTGGATTTTCAACTAGGGATGTACTTCCTATTTCCGTTTATCAATACACTCCTATAACCTTAAGATAACTGTGATTTTATAACCTTATATATGTCGATTGCATCAATATATAAGTAACTTTTAACAAGCACATGTGTTTTACTAGCAAGATAACCATGTTTATTTATATATCGATTGCGTAAATATGCTGTTTTATCCAACACATGTATTTTACTAGCAAGATAACCATGTTTATTTATATATCGTTTGCGTAAATATGTTATTTTATCTAACACATGTATTTTACTAGCAAAATAACCATGTTTATTTATATATCGATTGCGTAAATATGCTATTTTATCTAATACATGTATTTTACTAGCAAAATAACCCTGTTTATTTCTATATCGATTGCGTAAATATGCTATTTTATCTAATTCATGTATTTTACTAGCAAGCTAACCATGTTTATTTATATATCAATTGCGTAAATATGTTATTATATCTAACACATGTATTTTACTAACAAAATAACCATGTTTATTTATATATAGTTTGCGTAAATATGTTATTTTATCTAATACAGGTATTTTACTAGCAAGATAACCATGTTCATTTATATATCGATTGCGTGAATATGCTATTTTATCTAATGCATGTATTTTACTAGCAAGTGGACCATGTGGAAGATTAGCCTTTGGCTAAACATGTATTTTATCCTCAATAAATAATTTTTATTATTATTATTAATTATTCTACCCGGGTATTTGATATTCCGTCTTTGCGTATTGCAGAGTTATCTTCTCTTGGGAGCAGGTATTGATTGTTACGTCACTTGTTTGTGAGAGTAACGTCATCAATTTTTGAGAACGACGTAATTTTCGCTCACAAACCAATGACGTAACCATCAATACCTGCTCCCAAGAGAAGATAACTCTGCATGCGAAAGACTGAACTGACTTATAAATTTAACGAGATCCTCTGTCATCATAAGATATACAAACTTACTGATTTAGGTGATTACATATGAGAAAATGTACTCCTGAAAATGTTCAGTGTTAAACTAATGAACAATTAAAGGGAATTGTACAATGAGATAGTTAACAAAATCGTTACTGCTTCTTACCGTTTTGACTGTAGTCCCTATTGCGCCCTTTAGATCCTGTCACAGATTTAAACTGTTCCATTGATCGCTGCACATCCCTTTCTGTAATGAGTGTGGACTCCAATGGCAACGTGGACGCCATGATAGCTGCTCGTTTTGCTAACTTGTCAGCAAGGTCATTCCCATCCACTCCACTGTTTGACGGCACCCAGTCTATAGCTATTTCTACACCTTCAGATATAATCACATCCATCTTCTGTCTTATACTAGCAACAATATCTGCATGTTCAGCTTCCTTTGTATCATTTAAACACCCTTTTATGACATGTTGGTTATCACAGAATATTTGAATTTTTTCCAGTTGTAAAAAATTGAAATTTTTGATTATGTTTGACAATGCTATCTTGATTGCAGTGTATTCAGCTAGGTCATTGGGGGCCTGCGGTGACACAGGGACAGACAGCTTAGCTATAGTTTCATCATTTTCATAAATGACTGCTCCAGCTCCACATGGCCCCACTCTTCGTTTGGAGTCTAACATAGAACCATCTGTATATACTACAAGTGTCTTTTCAGGTAGAGATGATTTGATTTTATCATGCATTTTTTTGGCATTTTCAATTTTTTCATCTGTCTTCATCCCATTCCAATATTTGGGAGCTGAATTGGCATATTTTTTTGAAAATTGAAGTTTGTGGTTAACCACACGAGGTAAGTATTTCCTATGATTGCAGCAACACAGACTGACCGGAGACATCAAATCCCTTCTGGAACTTTGACCAGGTAACAACATATCTGAAGTTGATGCCGCACTTGAAATGTGGTAGAGTATTCTACCCGGCATCCATCTATATAACACAAACATTCTCTTGGCTTATAAGATGACCTGTTGGTAGAAAATGAAAAATAAATCATGTTAATTGAGTTTGAAATCATATTAAATTATGAATATTTGAAAATGTTTAATATTTCAGAATATTTTTTAGTACATATACACAAACTGTTTTTGTGATTTAATTAAACGTGAGTAAAGGATGGGGATCTAACAGTTTTTAGTATTGATGTTTGTGATCAATTCACTCCTTACACCAAAAGTGTGAAGCCCCCTCAAGCATTCAACAAATTTTCAACGGAATCTTAAAGTTAAGACAAATTCTAGCATAATTAACATAATTCACACATTGTATGATCTCTAGACACAGTTTTTAACAGTGAAAATAAAGCACCAACACCATTACAGAAGCATTCATGAGACGAAACCCCTTCATGTATGTTTATGTGTGCTGTGACCCATATCAGTATAGCATATGTGTATTTCAGACATTGGTAACAAACCCCTGTGATTAAACCTTATGTTCACAGGAACTTTTGCTTTGACCACGGATATCTGCAGACTTGGGGGTACCACAAGGTACAGTCCTCGGACCTCTCCTTGTTCTCCTCCTCTATCTGCAGACTCGGGGGTACCACAAGGTACAGTCCTCGGATCACTACTTGTTCTCCTCCTCTATCCGTGGACTCAGGCCTAGGGGTACCACAAGGTACAGTCCTCGGACCTCTACATTTTCTCCTCCTCTACCCATGGACTCGGGGGTACCACAAGGTACAGTCCTCGGACCACTACTTGTTCTCCTCCTCTATCCGCGGACTCAGGCCTAGGGGTACCACAAGGTACAGTCCTCGGACCTCTACATTTTCTCCTCCTCTACCCGCGGACTCGGGGGTACCACAAGGTATAGTCCTTGGACCTCTACTTGTTCTCCTCCTCTATCCGTGGACTTGGGGGTACCACAAGGTACAATCCTCGGACCTCTACTTGTTCTCCTCCTCTATCCGCGGAGTTGGGGGTACCACAAGGTACAATCCTCGGACCTCTACTTTTTCTCCTCCTCTATCCGCAGACTCGGGGGTACCACAAGGTACAGTCCTCGGACCTATACTTTTTCTCCTCCTCTATCCGCGGACTCGGGGATACCACAAGGTACAGTCCTCGGACCTCTATTTGTTCTTCTCCTCTATCCGCGGACTCGGCGATAACACAAGGTACAGTCCTCGGACCTCTATTTGTTCTCCTCCTCTATCCGCGGACTCGGGGATACTACAAGGTACAGTCCTCGGACCTATACTTGTTCTCCTCCTCTATCCGCGGACTCGGGGGTATCACAAGGTATAGTCCTTGGACCTTTACTTGTTCTCCTCCTCTATCCGCGGACTCGGGGATACCACAAGGTACAGTCCTCAGACCTCTACTTGTTCTCCTACTCTGTCCGCGGACTCGAGGGTACCACAAGGTATAGTCCTCGGACCTCTACTTTTTCTCCTCCTCTATCCGCGGACTCGGGGATACCACAAGGTATAGTCCTCGTACCTATACTTGTGCTCCTCCTCTATCTGCAGACGCGGGGGTACCACAAGGTACAGTCCTCGGACCTCTACTTTTTCTCCTCCTCTATCCGCGGACTCAGGGATACCACAAGGTATAGTCCTCGGACCAATACTTGTGCTCCTCCTCTATCTGCAGACGCGGGGGTACCACAAGGTACAGTCCTCGGACCTCTACTTTTTCTCCTCCTCTATCCGCGGACTCAGGGATACCACAAGGTATAGTCCTCGGACCAATACTTGTGCTCCTCCTCTATCTGCAGACTCGGGTGTACCACAAGGTACAGTCCTCGGACCTCTACTTTTTCTCCTCCTCTATCCGCGGACTCGGGGATACCACAAGGTACAGTCCTCGGACCTCTACTTGTTCTCCTACTCTGTCCGCGGACTCGGGGGTACCACAAGGTATAGTCCTCGGACCTCTACTTGTTCTCCTCCTCTATCCGCGGACTCGGGAATACCACAAGGTATAGTCCGCGGACCTTTACTTGTTCTCCTCCTCTATCCGCGGACTCGGGAATACCACAAGGTATAGTCCGCGGACCTTTACTTGTTCTCCTCCTCTATCCTCGGACTCGGGGATACCACAAGGTATAGTCCTCGGACCTCTACTTGTTCACCTCCTCTATCCGCGGACTCGGGGATACCACAAGGCATAGTCCTCGGACCTTTACTTGTTCTCCTCCTCTATCTGCGGACTCGGGGATACCACAAGGTATAGTCCTCGGACCTATACTTGTTCTCCTCCTCCATCCGCGGACTCGGGGATACCACAAGGTATAGTCCTCGGACCTTTACTTGTTCTCCTCCTCTATCCTTGGACTCGGGGAAACCACAAGGTATAGTCCTCGGACCTCTTCTTGTTCTCCTCCTCTATCTGCAGACTCGGGGGTACCACAAGGTATAGTCCTCGGACCTTTACTTTTTCTCCTCCTCTATCCTTGGACTCGGGGATACCACAAGGTACAGTCCTCGGACCTATACTTGTGCTCCTCCTCTATCCGCGGACTCAGGGGTACCACAAGGTATAGTCCTCGGACCTCTACTTGTTCTCCTCTTCATTAATGACCTTCCAGAATCTATACTTTCCAATGCTCGTCACCTTGCTGGCGATTGTCTCATCTATTGAGTCATCCACACAGCTAAGGACTGTGAGCTACTCCAGCAAGATTCGGTAAACATTCAGAAATGGAAATCTGATAAGCAAATTAATTTCAATTTAGATAAATGCTTTGTCATCAGAACATCAAAGAAACCACATCCTATTTGCTTCAATTATTCACTCCACCAGCAATCACTCGAAGTTGTTACAGAGAGCAAATATCTCGGTCTGGGAGTAATCCTGTCACACAACCTGTCCTGGGGCCCACATATAAACAGCATTACAGCTAAGGTGCATAGAACTCTAGGATTCTTGCGCTGTAACATGTCTGGATGCGCAAGGCGGGTCAAAACTCTCACTTACTCTGCCCTTGTCACACCTCACCTAGAGTACTCATTCTCTGTCTGGGATTCATACCGGGCAGAGCACATCAACCAGCTTGAGGCTGTCCAGTGAAGAGCGGCCAGATATGTCCACAATGACAACCATTCCTAGAACAACCAGGATGTGTGTCGGAAATACCAGCATGAAGTTGGTTACTTATTCAATATTGGACTGGACCAATGTTGGGAGCCTAGCGCAATATTGGGCTAGTTTGATATTCAAATTCATTTTTCACACCTATACCACAACTGGGCATCTTCTAAGGTATCCACATGCAAAACGGCATCAACGATACCCCAGACTAAAGATGCCCACTGGGTTTCATTTCAAATTTTTAGTACATAATCGTTATTTTTTCATTTTTCAACAGGCCACTGCATATTGTTATAGGTCTTATGCCCCTTTTTCACACCTATACCACAACTGGGCATCTTCTAAGCTATCAACATGCAAAATGGCATCAACCATACCCCAGGCTAAAGATGCCAACTGGACATCATTAGAATTTCAGTACATTATCGTTAATATTTCGTTTTCAACAGGCCACTGCATATTGTTATAGGTCTTATGTCGCTTTTTCACACCTATACCACAATTGGGCATCTTCCAAGGTACCCACATGCAAAACGGCATCAACGATGCCCTAGTCTAAAGATGCTCACTGGGCACTTTTGCAAATTTTAGCCTAGTCTTAACTTTACTAGGGGGACAAAGTTTAACATATCTTTGTACAAACATTGTGTGACTGCATTGCACTGCACGTGAGACATGACACATCACATATATACTGTTTTTTATAGTAATACCCTTATTTTTTAAATGATATATATATATCAATTTACAGTCATAATTTTAAACAACTTTGACATCCAAAAAGGTGGGAGGGGGGCTCGCTTGGACACTCAAACTGGGTGCATTTGGAATCCGCGTGTGTTCACAAGTCTACCCCAATGTACGAGCACATAAATTGTTGTAATATATTCTAATATAAGAAGGAAAGATAACGAACAAAATAACAAAACACATAGGAACAGATTGAATACATTACCCTCAGAAGTTCCCCATGTGCGCTCATCGGTGTTGTCCGGGCTTTTTTCGTTCTATTTTTACAAATGTAATTGATTGGTTGATAAGTAATAAATAATACAGGCACATTGGGCCTTTTCTAATCAGAGTTGCTTCCCTTGCTTTCCGGCTGACCTTCAAGCATGGCTGTCAGACAATTTTCCAGGATTTCCAAACTGCTCCCACAGAATGCAACTTTCGTTGCATCGAGCAAACTCAGGTGAATAATTGAGTAATTAGTTTGCATGTATTTTGGTTGTCACGATTTTGTTTTCATTAAATTATCTTAAAATATTAATACATTTCACATCAACATTGTCAGCAGACCACGTTTTTAAGTCGTGCTCAGTGACATGTTTTAGATATGTCTATATATAGAATAGTGTATTGGCTAGGTGCATGTATACCTAAATATTTCTTATTCATCAAAAACATTGTGTCAGTACAGAGATAATTAAATTAATAAACTAACTTCATCAGTGTTTCAGTATCGAATACACTAGTGGAAGGGGGGGGGGGGGGGGGGGGGTGATCATGGAGCCACAGGCATCTGCATCTGATAAATCCTAGGAGTCTGACGTTTAATTAACATATGTATAATAGTCTATATATAAAAAAAATACCCCGTATACTATAAAAAAAAAAATAGGTTGGGCACAACGGCGCATATGGGTAATAATCCTGCATTTGGGTAACATCTTTGTATGCTATGGTTGAATGCACTTCGAATCTACTTTCACTATCCTAAATAAAAAATAAAAAATTGTACTTCACTATCTAAATATTAAAAATCGCTATTTATATGGTTATTATAAACAACTTTTGGTTGAACGTTTTTTCGTGTTTTGACATTTTCGTGATTTTAGATGTCCCGACTTTTTTAAGGCTTCAAAGGTCGTAAATACTTTCAAAACCAAAAACTGTTCAACCAAAAGTTGTTTGTAATAACCAATAGATATGGCGATTTTCAATAACGTAAGTGAACTACATTTTTTTTTATATAGGATAGTGAAAGTAGATTTGAAGTACATTCAACCATAACATACAAAGATGTTACCCAAATGCGGGATTATTACCCATATGCGCCATTGTGCCCAACCTGATAAAAAACCTTACTTGAAAAAAGTTACTACACTAAATTAACAGCATGTTCAGATATTGATGTGCAAGATTACTGGATAAGCAATAATCTACAGATATGTTAGGGAGTATTATAAGACATTTTAGGGATTTAGATCAACACTATATAAAAATGCCACCTAAATGACTGTTTAAATGGTGGATTGAGACCTTGGAGTCTAAAAGTAACTCACCAAACATCCACATGGCCAATGATGGTGGTTGCATGAAATGTTTGGCACCGATGGAAAGTCAAGATGAAAAAAATCTTTCAAAATCCTGTTTTTCATGCATTTTCCAAGCAGCTACTCAATTTGGCGCTACATTTATTAAGTAAAAGTTCATTTTGAGGCTTTTATCTAGTATCTTGCCAATGCCAATACCTCTTTGTGCTCTGGACAAATGCTTTAAATTTTGTTTACATTTGAGTCTATTATAAGCTATTTATGTTCTGTACAGCTCCACGTGGGCAAATGTGGAAATGGGTCCACCGGATGCCATTCTTGGAGTCACAGAGGCATTCAAACGTGATACAAATCCAAAAAAGATGAATCTAGGTGTGGGAGCTTATCGTGATGACAATGGCAAACCCTTCATTTTGGAGTGTGTCAAAGAGGTAATTGAGGATTTAATAACCGTAAACTACTATTTCAATCCCTGCTGTCCGAGTCATCCTGTTTCCATTTCCTTTAATTTTCAGTTGAAAGTGTTTGTAATGACATAATTATGATTCCTATTAGCCCAAATTAAGATTTGTATTTGACCCAGACTTGAAATGATAAATTATTGAAAGAGATGCATTAAAACTGGACACATGGATGTTTCAGTAAAGATAAATTTATATTTAAGTCCTAAGCTCTATACTTGGAGAATTTTGATGGGTCTCATGGAAATGTTGGAAATGCTGAAATTTAACATGGTGGAGCCCATAGTTTTTTAACAGGGTCCATAAAAACTAATTGTATACTGATCAATGGATACATAATATTAAAATGTATCGGATGTCCTTTGACTTTGCAGGCTGAACAGATGATGCTGAGGGAGTGTGTAGACCATGAATATGCCCCCATCAGTGGACCTCCAGAGTTCTGTAAGGAGGCAGCCAAACTGGCGTTTGGAGACAACAGCCCAGTCATCAGTGAGGGCAGGGTGAGTGGCAACAGCTAAAGTTTGCGTGGATTGTGGTTTGTAATATCATACTAATATGTGAACAATACCAAAATAAATAGTCTACAAAACTAAAGTTCCGCAAATTTTTGCCAATGCTAAAAACTGAGATTAATGGTAATTGTAATATTTGTGATATAAACACTTCAATGCTACCCCATGTGTAATGCTACAAGTGTTTGGCCCCTGCAATTGCAAAAAAAATAATGCCCAAAATGTGACAGTATGTAATTTTAAAAAAAAAATATATATACATGATACACTCCTTTGTCATAATGGAAATGAATGTGTATAATCAAACATTTCAACAAGAAAAAAATAGAGGTGAAAATAAAACATGGCTATTTTTTTTTCTTGTGAATATTTACAAAATGGAAAAAAGGCAAATGTTTTGAACAATTTTTTCAGACTGCTGAATTTATAAAATGACTAAAATACTTATGAACTAGTAGTTTTACAAATTCTGAACTAATGAAAAGCAAATGATTTAATAAAGTAAATAAAAATAACCTGAGTTACTTGACAACACAAATTCTAGTACGCAGATAATATCAAATATAATTATTTTTGATAACAAATACATCAATTTACAAATATACAATATTTAAAGGTGGTCCAATTATCAGCATTCAAGTGAAACAAAGAAGAGTTACAAGTGTGGCAATGGAGGTTTCAGAAAACAAATTAAAAATAATATGTAATATCATATTATGAAGTACCATGGGGATAATTAAACTGCCTTCTAGGGGGGGGGGGGGGGGGGGGGAGTCATTTTGTTCTTCATAAGCCTTAATTAAACAATTGAAAATTTAATAGTTTTTAATTTTTTTGTTTACTATTTTCAGAATGTAACAGTCCAGGGTGTATCTGGAACAGGATCCCTCAGGCTTGGTGGTGAATTCTTTGTGAGTAATTTTTTAAATCCATCTGTCATAGTTGTAAAATACTGCTTCTTATCGACTCAATTAGGGAGAATTTTCTTTAGCTGAATTGGTAGAGGGTAAGACTAGAAAGACCAGAATCTCGGGAGCTATCCCATACACAGACATGAAAATAATTACCTCTGTTTCACATGAAGTGATGTATATTGTATTACTAATGAATACTTATAGAAAATTAAAGTCATTGAAAATTTACTGGAAAAAAATAATTGGTTTGACTCTCAACTGTTGACATTTTATGTTACAGTCGAAATGGTACAATAAGAACAAATTGTTCTACCTTCCAAGTCCTTCCTGGGGAAACCATACACCTATATTTAAGTATGTATGACCTACAAGTGTATAAATATTGTAAAACAAAAATGATATGACCCAATATTGTGTACATCCTTGATCAGTGGATATAACCTGATCAGAAATCGTTGCTTACAGACTAATAGTTTTGGTAATCACTTTGTTTTTACAGATAAATATTAATTTTAAGTTGAAAAACTAAAAATAAAGCTTCCAATTGGTGTTATCAGTCATTATTTGTACCCACAGTTTTGTATACAGTGTTGTTAAATAACTGCCTAGTGTGTATTTCTCATTCGAGTATTTCATGCGTTGATTAGAGTTTAATCTGTTATTTTGTATAAAATGAGTTGGTAAATAGCTACCTTGTACGTGTAACAGGTATATAATGTCTCAGTGAAAAGCATGTTATTACTTGTAGACACTCGGGACTGGAGGTGAAGTCCTACAGGTACTATGACCCAGGTACCTGTGGGTATGACTTCAGAGGTGCTATGGAGGATATATCAGTAAGTTATCTTATCCATTTTGGAAGATTTTATTAGATTTTCTCCCCTTCTATGGCAGATATCAAAAGTTGTTGTCCCAATTATGGAGGACATAGCGGCAAGTTATCTACCCTTCCATAGAGGATATAACAAATGGACAAGTTATAATTGAAATTCGATTTTTTTCGTTGTCAGGGATTAGCCAATAAAAGTTCAACAGCTGAAAGTATTATTCATCTCTCTAATAATCTAGAACTGGCTAGATGTGCGTTAAGAATATTTTGTCAGCAGCTTAACTTCTTGGCTTAAAGTTCACATTACAAATTATACTGATGTATCCTGGGAACGCGGAGTGTTGGAGATTGAAATAAGGTCTTATACCCCTCTGTAGACCGATATGATCCTTTCTTTATTTTAGATACTGATGATTGCCTGGAGTATTACATCCTTGCCATATCATCTATACTCTCAAACTTGTTATAGTCACATATTTTAGGAAGTTGTCTCATAACAAAATCAGGTTTGACCTGTTTCATGTAGAGATGAATGATCCTTTGTTTATTTTTTATACCAGAGGTCGTCAAGAGGATAACTTCCTCGATATTTCACCTGTGGTTAGGAAAGTTAAAAAATGAATATTTGCATCTTGGTTAAGTGGAGTTTCACACATTAATTTCATGTCTCCTGCCCGATTGGGATGCCACTTTATATTTTGGCATGGAAATCTGTCCCCTCAAATTATGTTTGCTTCTCCTACAGATGTTGGAAAGTGAAATGCTTTATTGTCTGTTTCACATGAGGGACACTCTTCAGTTATTTTTCACACAGAAATTTGTCTGCAATTACATGTATCTACAAGCTGTTCAGTTTAAGTGTGATGGTCCATCTTTCCTCCCATGTATATTTCCACACATCTGTCCATTCATCAGCTGTATCGTTTACTCATCTTGCACCTTCTATCTCTTAACATTGTACAGTGAGTATAAATACAAACTACTAGACATGTGATGGGCATATGTCCTGTCACTATGGTACTGTTGATAGCAAAGTCTTCTTCTTCAATAAGTTTCAATAACTTTCAGAGCTTTAATGTTTGATTGTTGATACATGATTATTTATATAGGAATGATGTTCACATGTCTATGCTTACCAAACAGCTGCAAAATGGACAATGCACTGGGGTAGAATTTCAGTGATGGCAAATTTTATAATGCCAGAATGTTTTACTACATCACGAATTTCTAAAATAACATTTATTGTTTTTCTTTTCTTCTGATTGCAGAATATTCCAGAGGGTAGTACCATTGTACTACATGCGTGTGCCCACAACCCCACTGGTGTAGACCCAAAGGTAAGTGTATATCATATTCTGAACAATTCTTCTGTTGGGTCCAAGGTGTACTACTAGTAGATACAAACTGGACTCTCCAATATGTTCATTGTGGTATTGTTATTTTGAGACAGCCTTAAGTGTATGATATTTATGTGTATTAACATATATACATATACGTGAAATAAGAAAAAATAGCTACAATTTGGACTTCTTAATCTTTTGTACAATGTTCAGTTTGAAAAGGACATTTGCATAATTGTGTTAGACAGTAGAAAAGTTTTTAACTGATTCATACCTGAAGACACATTTGAACTCTTCCAATTCAAAGGTTGGAATAGTTCATTATGAAATTTCAGTGATAAATGAGTTAAAAACGTTTTTTGTATGATATGCCATAATGGACATTTTTGTTTCATTATTTGAAGAATTTTCAAGTAGTATCCTTAAAGGTTTCAAAGTAGCAATTTACTGTCTTCTATTTTAGCCTGAACAATGGAAGGAGATGAGTGCTCTTATAAAGAAGAAGAAGTTGTTCCCTTTCTTTGACATGGCCTACCAGGGATTTGCTAGTGGAAACATTGATCAAGACGCATTTGCCGTTCGCCAGTTCCTGGAAGATGGACACCAAATGGCTTTGGCTCAGTCTTTTGCCAAAAACATGGGACTGTATGGTAAGACTGCTAGACCTTGTTCATTCATCAAAGTAATCAGCCAGACTTGGCGACCAGACATTCACTCAGTTGGCATTGTTTTCTCTCCTGTGTGGAAATGGGGACAATCAGAATACATATATCTGGTTTAATGTAATCAGCATGTACCTACATAAAACAAACTGAAATACAGAGTAGCTAGGGCCACTCTAGGAGTGCTCTTGGTTTCCCTTAGTCTGAATTTGAAATTTAGTTTGAAACTGATTGGAGGAACATGATGGCTGCCAGGCTTTTTTCAAGTATTACTAAAGCAGTGATCTTTCTCAAAAAATTCGTTTTGGTTCTAATGTTGTTACTGTAGAGTTTTAAGGCTTTTCAAAAAACAGATTGATATCCGGCAACCATCTTGGATTTTGACCGTTGAAGTTTGTTATCACTGTTTCTTAGAAAGCCTTAAGAGAGATCACTGCAAAAACAAAATGGCTTCCAGGAAGCGTATCATGTAATTTGACAGCTGAAATTTGTTATCATTATTTCTCAGAAAGAACCAGGAAGAGCTTCCTAAAATTTCACAAGAAGAAAATGGCTGTCGAGTAGACTCTGAAATGGATAAGTCATATTTTCCTGCTTGTTTCCTGCAGGTGAGCGGGCAGGTGCCTTCAGTATTGTGTGTGGTACTAAGGAGGAGGCAGACAGAGTTATGTCGCAGGTTAAGATTCTCATCCGACCCATTTACTCTAATCCTCCCGTTCACGGATCGCGCATCGCTGCACGGGTACTCTCCAACCCGGACCTAAGGACTATATGGTTGGTATACTGGTTATATAGGATTCTTAATTGCTGTTCATTTCAGATCAGATTTAATGATCATTGTGGAAAATCTTTATTATATATATTAATGAAAGCATACGATGTTAATGATATTTGTTTCTCACTGTAATTTGTGTAAACTGTTGAGTATTAACTAAACCCTTTATGTAAATTATTTATGTTTGTATGGACAGAGACGTACATGTTTAACATGATGAAATCTTGGATAAATCAATCAGGCATGATTCAACTTTGATATCATCAAATATTTTATAAATGTATTATTAGGGACATTTGATCATGTGTTGTACAACATATTGATTTTTGTTTTGTTGTTATGTAACATCTTAATTTACATATCAGGAATTTGATGAAGGTCTGTAGTTTTTGTATCCAGATATGATTTGATGAGTTCTTTAATATTTATGACATTGATAAACAGAAATATGCCGCATTATTGGGTGATGTTACATGGAACCACCAAGAGTGGAGAAGAACACACACAAACTTCATAAAATCACATATCATCCCACGTTAACATACCCTACATGCTTTCATCCAGACCAACAAGAGTGATGAAGATAATTTGTATAGACTTTTTTTTAATTTTTGTTGTAAAATAAATATAGTGTTTTTAAAATCATATCTGTACAACATGTATGGTAGTGTAGGCAATCTTTGATAGGTTACATGGAAAATCATACTTAAGAAAAAATATGTTACATCAGTGATAATTGCATCTTTGTGTTGACCAGGCTGGGTGAGGTGAAGGGTATGGCTGACCGCATCATCAACATGAGGAACAGGTTGAGGGAGGGACTTGCCAAGGAAGGGTCAAGTCACAACTGGCAGCATATCACTGATCAGATCGGCATGTTCTGTTTCACCGGACTCAAACCAGACCAGGTTGATCAATCATTATATTCCTTCTACTAGAATTGTGTTATAAAGGGACATAAATCTAACATTTGTTATTGTAATGTAGAATGAAAAATAATATCTTGGATAATTTGAAGTAGGTCTACTAAATGTTAATATTAGCTATTATGCTGAAAATTCACATGCATATTTTTGTTGTTGTTTTCGTCTTTTCGTTTTTTCATTAATTCTGATATATACGGTAAGCATTGAGTATAGATAAATACTCATATCAAAAATTACTTCCCTCATTAACACATAGTGCAAAAGATTTTTCTTTATTCAGTTCAATGCTCCATATCAATTATAAATATTTCAGGAAGGAAACATTTAAAGGAAACATATTTGTATAAATTTTCAAAATTTGTTTCTAAATCCTTTTTCATCATCAAATTAATCAAATACGTGCAATACATTTGTATAAATATGAAATAACATACAGTTTATTCTAATCATAAATATTTTTATCCGATTCTACACCAGGTGGAGAAGCTCACGAGTGATTACTCTGTGTACCTAACAAAGGATGGGAGGATCTCTGTGGCAGGAATCACCTCCAGTACTGTCGACTATCTGGCTCATGGTATACACCAGGTCACAAAGTGAAAGTACATCGACATATAGAATGTTAACTGCAGGGAGGCATTCAAAAGCAAAAACGTTTAGGATTTTTTTTTCATTTAGACCAGATTGTCATCAAATGATCAGCAAAATTTGTTCTGCAAATATTGAAGAGCACATTTAGGTTATAAATTATGATTATAAAGTGAAAGTTGATTAAATATATTAAAATAGGAAGCACTACTTTTCATGTGTTTCAAAGTTGTCCTGTTAGTGCTCTAGTGGGGAGACTTAAGAAGTGGTCACCAGGGGAAATGTTGTTTTTTTAAGGACGGGGAAATGTTGTTTTTTTAAGGGCGGGGAAATGTTGTTTTTTTAAGGGCGGGGAAATGAGGAATTTTTAAGAAATCTGGACAGCTCTCATTCAAAATCCTCAAAAAAAAAAGATATTTATAGGATTTACATCCATGTAAGCTGGATGGTCACAGTAGGTTGAAAGGGATCTGAAAAGTGCTATCGAAATATTGCCACAATAATTGTCAAGACATTTTAAAGAATGCTTGCAGATGATTTATTTTTGTAAGATGATTGAAGAACTTGTACCCAATAATTTTCCAAAAATTATCTGCAACTTCATGTGTTCAAATTTGATTTTGCGATCATGTTGTAGGAACCTCTATGTTTACCTTGTCTTGCTATACTGGTTTGTAGCGTAGAATAAGTGAAGACATTTGATAGGTCAAACTACCCTTACTAATTTATCACTGATTTTTATACTGAAAAATGTGTATTTTCTTTTTAAAAGAAATTTGATGTTGAATAATGTACTTTTATGTGATACCATACAAAGTACCATACTTTTGTTTAATGCTGAATGCTGTATAGATAATTATGATATACTTTGGTTTTATAAGTTACTTATATTTTAAATATATAACCCTACCTAAAACCTGTGTTTGTTATATAAATTCTTACAGTGTCTCTTTGTATTTAATTATGCATAATCTGTGTAAAGCTGTGATTCTTGCATCTGTGTGCATGAAGTTGACCAGCATCCCAAAAAAAATTATTCAGACAAATTAGGAGCGTTATTCTCACTTCCACCAAGTGAAATCATTGTAAATAGGTTGTTTGGAGCACATTCGCCAAAATCTATGCAAAAATGAAATAATCCTCTCAGTACTAGTAGTTTATAACAGATTCTAATCAAGTACGGACGTTGTTATGTGTGTAGGTGGTTGTTTTTATTTCTATTTGGTTAAAATTAATCGGGTATAAGTTATTGTTTAACTAGAACTCCAGCAATGATTGACACTGAATAAACAAATGAACAAATCTTACTGTTTTCGGGTTTTTTAGCAAAAATTGCCAGTGAGCTTATCAGATGGTGCTTCCTCTGTGTGTACTCTATGATCCTTGAAACAACTTCTTGAGTACCAATGAGGCACAGAGTCCAAGGGCCTCCTTGTTTATGCTTAGCAATGTGTTTGTCTGTTTTAATGTTTTACGGAATAAGCCTAATAGACCTGCAAATGTCAATACAATCATTGAAAGTCTTTAAAAACAAGAGGCCCAGAGGGCCTGTATCGCTCACCTGTTTCTTTTGTTACATGAAACTGACATATAGGTAATTCAGACCAAATTTGGCAACTAGAACACCAGACAAATTTTAACATCTCTTAAACGCTTCTCAAGATATTGTTTGAAATTTGAAATTGTAATTTTAAAGCTTTTAACCCACATTGACCTTTGACTCCGGCTAGCACAAAAGATTTGAACTGCTGGTCTACATAACATACTCAAGTATCATGACTCTAGTCCAAATGGTTCTTGGGATATTGTTGTTTGAAGTTTTTAACATATTTGACCCCTGTGACCTTGAAACTGGGTCAAGTTCATTTTAATGAAGAAAGTTTTTAGCACTCTATCCAAGGTACCGACTGGCCAAATATCATGACCCTGGGCCTTATGGAACTTGAGAAGAAGATTGTTAAGGCTTTTAACCCCTGTTCACATTTGACCCCAGACTACTGTTTTAAAGAAAAAGATTCGCACTAGTGGTCTACATAACATACTCAAGTATCATGACTCTAGTCCAAATGGTTCTTCGGATATTGTGGTTCGAAATTTTTAACATACATGTATTTGACCCCCGTGACCTTGAAAGTAGGTCAAGGTCATTTTAATGAGGAAACTTTATAGCACTCCATCCCAGGTACCTACTGGCAAAATATCATGACCCTAGGTCCTACAGTTCTTCAGAAGAAGTCATTCAAAAGAAAAAGTTGACGGACAGACAACAGGCCAGGTGAGCTAAAAATTAAATAACCAACTTTGGTCCAGCCGGTCCAATCATTTGAACTGGATAAACGAAAACTGACATATATTTTTTTCTTCAATAAGATTTATCAGTTTGGAAAAATGTGATATCAAAGTTTTATGTTCTACACAAACAATGTATATATTAAACGTGTCAATGTTTCAAGACTGAATAGTCCCTTTGTCAAGCTACGACTGAGTGAGCAATTTATATTTTTTACCTGAACAACAATGTGACGAAATTGTATATTTTTTATGTCACTTGACCCGAGATATTTCGCCTATCGATAGGGATATGACTCTTATAATTGTCATGATCATTACATACTTTCTTGGACAAAATGAGCTAAGAACTGTCATAACCTGAAAATCTGCCGAAGTTTTTGTATAAATTCTTTGTCTGATGGTGCTTAACTCTAATACAGCATATTTGTCCGAGTAGATGACTGATTCAATGTTTCCCTGTATACATCGTTTTGCAGATTATTAGTTTTTCATTGACTAGGCTGATTTACCTGAATTCTTTAGAACATATCCTGGTGTAGCCCAGCTGAACTTTTTATTCGCCTGTCAAATTTGACGGAAGTATTATGGTATGGGGTCGCCCGTCCGTTCGTCCGGCGTAAACTTTTGTTTGTCCGGCAATCTCCTCCTACATTTTTTGACCAATCTCTTTGAAACTTGGTATAGTCATGATATGTTGTGTTTTCTTGAAAAGAATTTTGATTCAACAATATTTGCAAAAGTTTTTGCCCTTTTCTTTAATTCAGTATTTTATTTTTGTCTGGCAATCTCCTACATTTTTCAACTCATCTCTTTGAAACTTGGTAAACATAATAATCATGATATGAAGTTGTGTCTCATTTAATGAATTTTGATTTGATGATTTTTGCAAAAGTTATTGCCCTTTGTTCATATCGGTATTTGATTTTTTGTCCGGAGATTTTCTTCTACATTTTTTATTCAGGTAACCACTCTTAGAATGATGCAGATCTTATTTCAATGTAAGAAAGTATATAACACAATATGGCATTCGACGGGCGTATATTGTTCCGCCCCGTGGTACTCTTGTTACACTCCGAGCACTGTTTTATACTGATTATATTTTGTTTAGTTCATCTGTATTACTTTTTATATAGAAATCCTGCAAGGTTTGATTTTCATTTCCGAAAAAAATTATCGAAGCTATAATCATGCTGGCTAAGTTCGCGTCCAGTGGACAGTTACCGTTTTGTTAGTGGTCTAGGGTCGATAATGAATTTATACCAGATCTGCTCAAATGTATGATTATAATAAGATTAAAACAAGATAGGTGTCAAGAAAACAGATTGGAAAGAATATCAACTGAGCAAGAAAGGAAACACTTTGATCCCAGGTGTTATAATGACAGCTACACTTTGATCCCTGGTGTTGCTATGACAGCTATACTTTGATCCCAGGTGTTGCTATGACAGCTACACTTTGATCCCAGGTGTTGCTATGACAGCTTCACTTCGATCCCAGGTGTTGCTATGACAGCTACACTTTGATCCCAGGTGTTGCTATGACAGCTACACTTTGATCCGAGGTATTGCAATGACAGCTACACTTTGATCCCAGGTGTTATAATGACAACTACACTTTGAACCCAGGTGTTGCTATGACAGCTACACTTTGATCCCAGGTGTTGCAATGACAGCTCCACTTTGATCCCAGATGTTGCAATGACAGCTACACTTTGATCCCAGGTGTTTAAATGACAACTACACTTTGATCCCAGGTGTTGCTACGACAGCTACACTTTGATCCCAGGTGTTGCTATGACAGATACACTTTGATCCCAGGTATTGCAATGACAGCTTCTCTTTGATCCCAGGTGTTCAAATGACAACTACACTTTGATCCCAGGTGATGCTACGACAGCTACACTTTGATCCCAGGTGTTGCAATGACAGCTCCACTTTGATCCCAGATGTTGCAATGACAGCTACACTTTGATCCCAGGTGTTCAAATGACAAATACACTTTGATCCCAGGTGTTGCTACGACAGCTACACTTTGATCCCAGGTGTTGCTATGACAGCTTCACTTAGATCCCAGGTGTTGCTATGACAGCTACACTTTGATACCAGGTGTTGCTATGACAGCTTCACTTCGATCCCAGGTGTTGCTATGACAGCTACACTTTGATACCAGGTGTTGCTATGACAGCTTCACTTCGATCCCAGGTGTTGCTATGACAGCTACACTTTGATACCAGGTGTTGCTATGACAGCTTCACTTCGATCCCAGGTGTTGCTCTGACACCTACACTTTGATCCCAGGTGTTGCTATGACAGCTACACTTTGATCCCAGGTATTGCAATGACAGCTACACTTTGATCCCAGGTGTTCAAATGACAACTACACTTTGATCCCAGGTGTTGCTACGACAGCTACACTTTGATCCCAGGTGTTGCTATGACCGCTACACTTTGATCCGAGGGGTTGCAATGACAGCTACACTTTGATCCCAGATGTTGCAATGACAGCTACACTTTGATCCCAGGTATTGCAATGACAGCTACACTTTGATCCCAGGTGTTGTAATGACAACTACACTTTGATCCCAGGTGTTGCTATGACAGCTACACTTTGATCCGAGGTATTGCAATGACAGCTACACTTTGATCCCAGGAGTTGCAATGACAGCTACACTTTGATCCCAGGAATTGCTATGACAGCTACACTTTGATCCGAGGGATTGCAATGACAGCTACACTTTGGTCCCAGGTGTTCAAATGACAACTACACTTTGATCCCAGGTGTTGCAATGACAGCTACACTTTGATCCCAGGTGTTGCAATAACAGCTACACTTTGATCCCAGGTATTGCTATGACAGCTACACTTTGATCCCAGGTTTTGCTATGACAGCTACACTTTGATCCCAGGTGTTGCTAAGACAGATACACTTTGATCCCAGGTGTTGCTATGACAGCTACACTTTGATCCCAGTTATTGAAATGACAGCTACACTTTGATCCCAGGTATTGCAATGACAGCTGCAGATCATATATTTTGTGTCCTGTTATAATTAGTAGAGCAAAATAAAAAGAACTGTTGTAAAAAGTCTGTAGATCCGAAATTTGCTCCCAAAATACCCTCCTGATTATGTAGTTCACAGAAATGTAAAAGAGATCCCAGAGGGATCTTGGCGCTTACCATTGTACCATCTTTATTAATTCTATGTCAGTTCGATACTTTCTCTTAACTATTTGATTGAGTTATGTTAACAGTAAATGCACCTTAATAGGTAACTTTTGAGAAAGATCCCTCCAGATCTTTCCGAGAAATAACAAACGTTCATTGTCATTGTCATTATCTGATCAGTCTCAAAAGTAAACATGCACAACGAGGGACTAAGTCAATATCAAATCTGAGGAAGATCCCTCCAGTCCTTTCTGAGAAAAAGCGATAACAATAATTGTTTAAGGACGTGCCTCCATGTGTGTAGTGTATGCGTGCTTGCGTTTGTATGCAGAAGACGGGGTATGTTGCTGTGCTTGACTCCTTGTTATAGTGTGGATCTGATGCCGACTTTATAGTGCCATTTCACTGAAATGCCATGCCGAAGGCACCCAGCACAGCATTCCGCCTGGTCACATTATACTGACGAGTGAACCAGTTGTTGTCAATCCCCGAATTGCTGAACATTTAGCAGGAAAAAACAACTACCATTTTTAAGGACTTTGGTATGTCCCGGCCTTTCTCATCTGGGCGAACACTCAACATTTAAGCCAAAGGTGAGGTGTTGCCAAGCAAGGCGCTAGAAAATAAAAGGTTGAAAGAAAGATCCCAAATATTGCAATTGGCCCTGCAGATTTATTTTGGTCGCTTTTGTGTCCCCAAATAGAGAACACCAAAGTAAATCCCAAATTCTGCAGGGGATTCCCAAATTAGATGCCTCATACGCTACAAGCAGGTGTATTCTTTTCCAGACCCCCACCTGCAGGGGTGTCCATACTTGGTTGTAACTGGTATTTGTCGGATTAAATATGTATGTAATGCTTTATTACCAATACATGCATTGCATGGTGATTATGTGTGTGTACAGAAAAGATTTAAACAAGAGGCCCAGGGGCCTTAATAGCTCACCTGGTATTTTATTTTTCAATTTAAAACCTGCTGAGTACCATTCAGGTTTATCAAAGGAGTACAAGTAACAAAGTTGCATCTTCCATTTATAAATATTCAATTCCCTTTGCCCAAAGATTCTCTAAAACAAGTTTGGTTAGGTTAAAATCCCTTCAACGGTACAGAAGGAGAAGGATCTTTAATGTTTTCCTCTATTTCCCCTAATGGGCCCCACTAATCTGCCCCAAAGAAGGGGAATCCACACACCTCAGTTTAAACAAAATTGATTCTTTTCTCCCTAAGCATGCTTCAGACTGCATTTGGTTTAAATCCCTTCACTTGTATAGTAGGAGAAAAAAAATCCTCTATTTCCCCTATTGGGCCCCGCTCCTATGCCGCCAGAAGGCCCACACCCTCCGTTTATACAAACTTGAGTCTCCTTTGTCCAAAGATGCTCTAGGACAAATTTGGTCAAAATCCTTCAATTGGTTGAGGAGAAGATTTTTAAAGATTTACCTATTTTCCCCTATTTGGCCCCGTCCCTCTGCCCCCAGGGGGACCATACCCTCCGTTCATACAAAACTGAGAACCCTTTGGCCAATGATGCTCCAGACCAAATTTGGTCAAAATCCCTTCATCGGTACAAAAGGAGAAGGATATTTGATGTTTTCCTCTATTTCCCCTAATGGGCCCCACCCATCTGCCCTTAGAAGGAGGCCCACACACCTCAGTTTATACAAAATTGATTCTTTTGTCCCTAATCATGCTTCAGACTGCATTTGGTTAAAATCCCTTCACTTGTATAGCAGGAGAAAAAAAATCCTCTATTTCCCCTATTGGGCCCCGCCCCTCCGCCCCCAGAGGGGCCACACCCTCCGTTTATACAAACTTGAGTCTTCTTTGTCCAAAGATGCTCTAGGACAAATTTGGTCAAAATCCTTCAATTGGTTGAGAAGAAGAACATTTTTAAAGATTTACCTTTTTTCCCCTTATTTAGCCCCGCCCCTCTGCCCCGAGGGGGGGCTATACCGTCCGTTTATACAAAACTGAGAACCCTTTGGCCAATGATGCTCCTGACCAAGCTTCAGACTGCATTTGGTTTAAATCCCTTCACTTGTATAGTAGGAGAGAAAAAATCCTCTACTTCCCCTATTTGGCCCCGCCCCTCTGCCCCCAAAGAGGCCACACCCTCCGTTTATACAAACTTGAGTCTCCTTTGTCCAAAGATGCTCTAGGACAAATTTGGTCAAAATCCTTCTATTGGTTGAGAAGAAGAAGATTTTTAAAGATTTACCTATTTTCCCCTTATTTGGCCCCGCCCCTCTGCCCCCAGGGGGGTTATACCCTCCGTTTATAAAACTTGAGTCTTCTTTGTCCAAAGATGCTCTAGGACAAATTTGGTCAAAATCCTTCTATTGGTTGAGAAGAAGATTTTTAAAGATTTACCTATTTTCCCCCTATTTGGCCCCGCCCCTCTGCCCCCAGGGGGGTTATACCCTCCGTTTATACAAAACTGGGAACCCTTTGGCCAATGATGCTCCTGACCAAATTTGGTCAAAATCCGCTGAACCATTCAGGACAAGTAGCATTTTAAAGGAAAAAGTTGACGGACGACGGACGCTGCACCATGGGATAAGCTCACTTGGCCCTTCGGGCCAGGTGAGCTAAAAACAATTAGAAACATGTTCGAGCTATAAAGCATAAGCCCTTTCATTTTCATCTTTAGATGCTGAACAAATAATTACAATGTTGACTTTTAAATGTGTATAAAGTTGGACTGTTTTGCTTCGGTTTCAATGATTTTATGAAAATCTTAAAAAAAAAAAAAAAAAAAAAAATTGTTTAAGATGGACGAAGGGCGATTTGAATAGCCCACCATCATCTGATGGTGTGCTAATAAAAGACAGGCCCTCTATTCCGTCTTTGCGTATTGCAGAGTTATCTTCTCTTGTGAGCAGGTATTGATTGTTACGTCATTGCTTTGTGTGAGGAAATTACGTTGTTTTCTCAAAAATTGATGACGTTTCTCTCACAAACAAATGACGTAACAATCAATCCCTGCTCTCAAGAGCAGATAACTCTGCAATACGCAAAGACGGAATATGCTGTGCAAACTCTAATAATGCATATGAGACTGTTATCAGACTTGTTTAAGCTATAAAACTCTTTGAAGTGTACATCACCAAAGGGGGAAATCCTTCAATTACATCAGGAAACTAATAGTTACTCAATGGAAATGTTCCCGAGACAAAAGAGTAAAGGAACAAGTTGTCACATTTAGTTCAGACATTCTTTAATCATCATTTCTTCATTGCTTACATCAACACAATACATTATAACTGTAAAAAAAAGTTTGAACTTTTAAACCTATTCTTTCTCTATTTCCTATTTGGGTTTTAAAGAAAAAAGTACTGGGTATCCTCATTTTACTTAAATTTATGCAAAGAACTTGTAGACTGCTTTTGATGATCATGGATCTTAATTTTATTCTGATTTACTGAAATGAGTGACTGGCACAAGGAGGATATACTTTAACAGTGAAAGTAGATGCTTTGATGTCCCATTGGTATCTATGCATTTAGCATCACTCTTACTGGCCAAGAAATGTCTTGTTGAATATAACTTACTGCATATGTAACTTACAATTCTGTTCTGTTCTAGGCATGTCACTTATACACCATATAATAATAATAATAACTCGAGGTTCTTATATACCGCTTTATCACAACCTAGTTTGAAAGTTGTCGCAATGCGGTTCACAAATTATTATCTGTGGATATAGGGCAACTTCCTGGGGGCTGGGGATGTGTGTGCATACAGCCGGTGCTGCCATTCCGGTGCTGCCATTCCGGCACTCACAGCTAGCATTCAACAATTCTAGCACTGCCTAACCACATGTTCTCATTTACAGCTAAGTAGACTGGAATAAGCGGAGTAAAGTATTTTGCTTAAAGATACAACACAGTGCCGTGATGCGACTCAAACCCGCAACCCTTCGGTCACAAGCCCCGCATCCTACCACTAAACTAATGTGCCTCCTTAGGCTTAAGCTTGTGTGATGATATTTTGTGAAGCTTTGCCTTAAATCAAAACTAAAATGCTAGTTTCCTACAGTTGATACCAAAACAATCTTCCTAATGAATATGATGCATTTAAAGGCATGCAATGTTTGGGAGATATGAATTGTGTTATAAACATATTTGAAAAATTTCTTCGACCAAGCAGGTAGATCCTAACTGATTAAGTCATCTACCAGGATTTAAAATTTCTTACTAAATCTTGGAAAACCGAATACAGATAAATTGTTCAAAGTTATAAATAAGACTTCAACATGTACAAGAATGCATTGAAAATTAAATTAACGCCTACATATAAACAAGCAGCAATACCTACACATAATACACATACACTCTTTACAGATCTGGTACCAGATGATCTTCAAAAAGTATTGTTTACAACCACATTACTTCTGATGCATTTCAGGCATACACAATCACTGCCCCAGGGTAACAATTTTACAGTTAAGATCTAACAATGAGGCCAACAAGAATCTACAATACTGTTTGGGGAATATGATAGCTTGTTATACAACGAAGAAAGAATACTGCTCTTCAGCTCAGTGAGCCAAAACCGACTTCTATAGATAAACCTATGGTCTGTATTAACCACAGACATAAATGTGAATTTCATTGCAGAACAATGTCTTACTTCCCATATCATAAACAAGGAAACCTGTTGCTCAGACACTGTTTGGCAATAGTGAAGTAGTCACTATCACTCGAATAATATTGGAAAAATAAACATATTTTTTCAAAGTAACAAAATCTGAGATGTTATAAACAGTAATCTAACAAATATCACTCGGTACATCTTTCTGACTTGTCAAAGCCCAACTGTTGTAACAGCTGTGCGTTTTAACGTCACTTTTATGTACCTTTTGACTGTCCTGACGTCACAAGTTTTTATTGTTCTGTGATCTGTCGTAACAACTTCATAGTTTTACATTTCTGCATTGTAACAGCAATCAGTCCTAATGTAAGCTCTTCGTAACTTTCTTCTTTGAAGTTGGATCAGTTGCATAAGTTTTTGTTAAAGGTCCAATCTCCGATTTCTTTAAATCAATCTTTGCTAACTGTTTCCTTTTACTTAAAGTCGGATCAGCTGCATACGTTTTTGTTAAAGGTCCTGTCCCCGCTTTCTTGAAATCAGCCATTGTCTGGTTTGCTGTCTCCTTCATTTTCTGTTTCCTTTTAAATTGTGCCCAACCTGGAAAAAATATTGTTACATCAAAATTCCTGAATACTGTACAACCTTTTTTCACTTTTAGATAATTCAGTAATATATGTATCTCACAGCGTAATCTAATTGAATTATTTTACTCCATCCCTCTTAGCCCTGTCACATATGCAATGTTGACATTTTATCAATGGGGTGATGTGATGTCAAACAGTTGTTCTTACTCGGGGGGAATCCCCTCACGCCTAGAGTGAGAAAAGGATTTCTCTTACCTTGGACAGGTATCCACACTTTTCCTGGTCTGATATATCCTGATCTCATCCTAGAGTGAGAGAAGCAATTCTCTTACCTTAGACAGGTATCCACACTTTTCCTGCTCTGATATATATATATCTCACCCTATAATGAGAGAAGGATTTCTCTTACCTTGGACAGGGATCCACACTTTTCTTGGTCTGATATATATATATCCTGATCTCATCCTAGAGTGAGAGAAGGATTTCTCTTACCTTGGACAGGTATCCACACTTTTCCTGCTCTGATATATATATATCTCACCCTAGAATGAGAGAAGGATTTCTCTTACCTTGGACAGGTATCCACACTTTTCTTGGTCTGATATATATATATCCTGATCTCACCCTAGAGTGAGAAAAGGATTTCTCTTACCTTGGACAGGTATCCACATTTTCCTGGTCTGATATATCTTTATCTCACTCTAGAATGAGAGAAGGATTTCTCTTATCTTGGACAGGTATCCACACTTTTCCTGGTCTGATATATCTTTATCTCACCCTAGAGTGAGAGAAGGATTTCTCCTACCTTGGACAGGTATCCACACTTTTCCTGGTCTGATATATCTTTATCTCACCCTAGAGTGAGAGAAAGATTTCTCTTACCTTAGACAGGTATCCACACTTTTCCTGGTCTGATATATATATCCTGATCTCACCCTAGAGTGAGAGAAGGATTTCTCTTACCTTAGACAGGTATCCACACTTTTCCTGGTCTGATATATCTTTATCTCACCCTAGAATGAGAGAAGGATTTCTCTTACCTTGGACAGGTATCCACACTTTTCCTGGTCTGATATATACATATCCTGATCTCACCCTAGAGTGAGAGAAGGATTTCTCTTACCTTGGACAGGTATCCACACTTTTCCTGGTCTGATATATATATATCCTGATCTCACCCTAGAGTGAGAGAAGGATTTCTCTTACCTTGGACAGGTATCCACACTTTTCCTGGTCTGATATATACATATCCTGATCTCACCCTAGAGTGAGAGAAGGATTTCTCTTACCTTGGACAGGTATCCACACTTTTCCTGGTCTGATATATACATATCCTGATCTCACCCTAGAGTGAGAGAAGGATTTCTCTTACCTTGGACAGGTATCCACACTTTTCCTGGTCTGATATATACATATCCTGATCTCACCCTAGAGTGAGAGAAGGATTTCTCTTACGTTGGACAGGTATCCACACTTTTCCTGGTCTGATATATATATATCCTGATCACACCCTAGAGTGAGAGAAGGATTTCTCTTACGTTGGACAGGTATCCACACTTTTCCTGGTCTGATATATATATATCCTGATCTCACCCTAGAGTGAGAGAAAGATTTCTCTACCTTAGACAGGTATCCACACTTTTCCTGGTCTGATATATATATATCTCACCCTAGAATGAGAGAAGGATTTCTCTTACCTTGGACAGGTATCCACACTTTTCCTGGTCTGATATAAACATATCCTGATCTCACCCTAGAGTGAGAGAAGGATTTCTCTTACCTTGGACAGGTATCCACACTTTTCCTGGTCTGATATAAACATATCCTGATCTCACCCTAGAGTGAGAGAAGGATTTCTCTTACCTTGGACAGGTATCCACACTTTTCCTGGTCTGATATAAACATATCCTGATCTCACCCTAGAGTGAGAGAAGGATTTCTCTTACCTTGGACAGGTATCCACACTTTTCCTGGTCTGATATAAACATATCCTGATCTCACCCTAGAGTGAGAGAAGGATTTCTCTTACCTTGGACAGGTATCCACACTTTTCCTGGTCTGATATATATATATCCTGATCTCACCCTAGAGTGAGAGAAGGATTTCTCTTACCTTGGACAGGTATCCACACTTTTCCTGGTCTGATATATCTTTATCTCACCCTAGAATGAGAGAAGGATTTCTCTTACCTTGGACAGGTATCCACACTTTTCCTGGTCTGATATAAACATATCCTGATCTCACCCTAGAGTGAGAGAAGGATTTCTCTTACCTTGGACAGGTATCCACACTTTTCCTGGTCTGATATATATATATCCTGATCTCACCCTAGAGTGAGAGAAGGATTTCTCTTACCTTGGACAGGTATCCACACTTTTCCTGGTCTGATATATACATATCCTGATCTCACCCTAGAGTGAGAGAAGGATTTCTCTTACGTTGGACAGGTATCCACACTTTTCCTGGTCTGATATATATATATCCTGATCACACCCTAGAGTGAGAGAAGGATTTCTCTTACGTTGGACAGGTATCCACACTTTTCCTGGTCTGATATATATATATCCTGATCTCACCCTAGAGTGAGAGAAAGATTTCTCTACCTTAGACAGGTATCCACACTTTTCCTGGTCTGATATATATATCCTGATCTCACCCTAGAGTGAGAGAAGGATTTCTCTTACCTTAGACAGGTATCCACACTTTTCCTGGCCTGATATATCCTGTTCTCATCCTAGAGTGAGAGAAGGATTTCTCTACCTTGGACAGGGATCCACACTTTTCCTGGTCTGATATATCCTGATCTCATCCTAGAGTGAGAGAAGGATTTCTCTTACCTACGACAGGTATCCACACTTTTCCTGGTCTGATATATCTTTATCTCACCCGAGAATGAGAGAAGGATTGCTCTTACCTTGGACAGGTATCAACACTTTTCCTGGTCTGATATAAACATATCCTGATCTCACCCTAGAGTGAGAGAAGGATTTCTCTACCTTGGACAGGGATCCACACTTTTCCTAGTCTGATATATCTTTATCTCTCCCTAGAGTGAGAGAAGGATTTCTCTACCTTGGACAGGGATCCACACTTTTCCTTATATATATCTCACCCTAGAATAAGAGAAGGATTTCTCATACCTTGGACAGGTATCCACACTTTTCCTGGTCTGATATATCCTGATCTCATCCTAGTGCTGAGATGGGAGGTTTTCCCAGTCTATCAATTGCATGACGTCACATCAACAATTCAATTAACATCACGTCAATGATGCATTAACATCATGTTAATCAACAGGGTAGGAGAAGACAACAAGAGGCCCATGGGCCTTAACGGTCACCTAATATATTTATACAGAGAGTTGATTTTGTTTTTAACATGAACAGAAATATTATTCAAAGTGACAAAAAACAATAAAACCACCTTATTCAATATCTAGCATACATATAAAATTTGGGAAAGATCCCTCTGGCACTTCCTGAGAAATAGCGATAACAAACTTTCACTATCAAAATCCAAGATGGCTGCCTGTCGGCCATGTTGTTTATCCGACCAGTCTCAAAAGGTGCCCTGCACAGCTAAGGACAAAGGGGAACCTACATATAAAATTTGGGAAAGATCCCTCTGGTATTTCCTGAGAAATAGCGATAACAAACTTTCACTATCAAAATCCAAGATGGCTGCCTGTCGGCCATGTTGTTTATCCGAACAGTCTCAAAAGTTGCCCTGCACAGCTAAGAACAAAGGGGAACCTACGTATTAAATTTGAGAAAGATCCCTCTGGTACTTCTTGAGAAATACCGATAACAAGAATTGTTTAAGGACGGACGCGGACCACGGACGCAGGGTGATTTGAATAGCCCACCATCAGATGATGGTGGGCTAAAAACTGCTGACATACTAACAAGACACCCATACAAATACCCCACCAAAGGTAGATGGATGATAATAACAAGAGGTCCATTGGACCTGTATCGCTCAACTGGTTTTATATTTAAGTCATTACAACTGAATGCATTAATAAATCTTTATATGAAATTTCCTCAAAACAACCCAACTGGGACCACAATATCTGACTTTCAACTAATCATGATCAGGGGCCTCCATAGAGTTGCCATGTTAACAGATTTTGAAATAAGTAATATGCCATATTACAGGGTGTAATTAGACAATACTTTAATTTTCATTCAACTATAAGCTTTTATAAACCTAGAAACCAATTTTTAACAATTTATGACAAGAGGCCCAATGGGCCTGAAACGCTCACCTGGTATTAATCTCACACTTGTAATCTTAAAAGTGGACTAAAATACAGCTACAGGCAGAATATCAGTGTGAGCTTGAATGTCAAACAATGACATTAGGTTGAAAGTGGGTCAAGGTCATTCATTTGAACAAATTTGGTAGCCCTGATTGCTACAGGCCAAATATCAGTACCCTGGGCATTTTGGTTATTCAGAAGAGGTTGTTTAAATGTTTTAAACATATTTGACCCCTGTGACCTAGAATATAAGTCAAGGTCATGTATTTGTACAAACTTGGTAGCCCTTCATCCCAGTATGCTTCTGGCCAAATATCATCACCCTAGGCCTTTTGGTTACTGAGAAGAAGTTGTTTAAAGTAAAATGTTGACGATGGACGGACAACGGGCGACAGACGGATGGACGGACGACGGGCGACGGATGGATGACGGACGCCACACCATGCCATAAGCTCACTTGGCCCGAAGGGCCAGGTGAGCTAAAATCTACGTCATAGAATATGGTAATCTAGCTGTATCATTTCTTAGGACTGCAGGGGTCAAATCAACCTCATTCAATTAAGAAATGTTTGTTCTTCCTCAATAATGTTTTTGACCAAATTTTGTACAATCCACTCAGGCAATTAGGGGATATTAGCATCTTAAAGCAAAATAATAGATAATTTTCCTCTTTGGGGCTCGGTCTTCCTAGCCCCAGGGGTTGAACCAGTCTCATTTATTTAGGAAATGATTGCCCTCCCCCATTGATGCTTCAGACAAAATTTGGTTGAAATCCTCTCTGGTGTTGAGGAGGAGATGCGTTTTAAAGCAAAGTTAGCTAAGTTCCCCTTCAGGGCCTCGCAACCCTGGCCTCAGGGGTCGAACCAATCTCATTTATTTCAGAAATGATTGCCCTCCTATAGTGATGCTTCAGACTAAATTTGGTTGAAATCCTCTTTGGCGTTTAGCAGGAGATGCGTTTTTAAAGCAAATTTAGCTAAGTTCCCGATCAGGGTCCCGCCCCCCTGGCCTCAGGGGTCGAACCAACCTCACTTATTGAAGAAATGATTGCCCTCCCCTAGTGATGCTTCAGACTAAATTTGGTTGAAATCCTCTTTGGCGTTTAGCAGGAGATGCATTTTAAATCAAATTTAGCTAAGTTCCTCTTCAGGGCCCCACCCCCCTGGCCTCTGGGGTCGAACCAACCTCACTTATTGAAGAAATGATTGCCCTCCCCTAGCGATGTTTCAGACTAAATTTGGTTGAAATCCTCTCTGGCGTTAAGTAGGAGATGCATTATAAAGCAAATTTAGCTAAGTTCCCGATCAGGGCCCTGTCCCCCTGGCCCCAGGGGTCGAACCACCCTCATTTATTTAAGAAATGATTGCTCTCCCCTAGTGATGCTTCAGACTAAATTTAGTTGAAATCCTCTTTGGTGTTTAGGAGGAGATAGGTTTTAAAGAAAAAATTGATGGACAACGACGGACGCTGCGCACCGGCATCAGCTCATTATGGTCCTTCGGACAAGGTGAGCTAAAAATGATTGACAGAATGTTTGTTGTAAACTTAAAATATACTGCCCAATACTTTTTAACTATTGATTTTTGTTGAGGTGAATACTGGTATGCAGTTATATGAACTTTCAAGGTTACAGGGGTTTAAATGTCTCAAATCTTCACACAACTACTTCTCAATAACCGAGTAAGCTTATGCCGTGGTGCGGGGTCCATCGTTCGTCCGTCCATTGTCCGGGTGATGATATTTGGACAGAAGCATGCTGGGATGAATGGCTACAAAGTTTGTTCAAATGAATGACCTTGACCAACTTTCAAGGTCACATGGGTAAAATGTTGTAAAATCTTCAAACAACTTCTTCTCAATAACTTAAAGGCCCAGGGTACTGATATTGGGCCTGTAGCATGCTGGGATGAAGGGCTACTAAGTTTTTTTCAAATGAATGACCTTGATCTGCTTTCTAGGTCATAGGGGTCAAATGTCTTAAAATCTTCAAACAACTTCTTCTCAATAACCAAAAGCCACAGGGTACTGATATTGGACCTGTAGCATGCTGGGATGAAGGGCTACCAAGTTTGTTCAAATGAATGACCTTGACATATATTCAAGGTCACAGGGGTCAAATATGTTAAAAACCTTTAAAGGACTTCTTAATAAGCAAAAGGTCCAGAGTAATGATATTTTGCAAGAAGCATATGCTAGGTTGGAAGACTATAAACTCTGTTCAACCTGATATCCTTGTTCGACATTCAAGGTCACAGGCGTCATATGTTTAATTTTTTTAATAGGTTCTTATGAATCAAACACTGATATTCTGCCTGTAGCTGTATTTTAGTCCACTTTTAAGATTACAAGTGTGAGATTAATACCAGGTGAGCGATGCAGGCCCATTGGGCCTCTTGTATGTAAATACAGGTGAGCGACGCAGGCCCATTGGGCCTCTTGTATGTAAATATTGCACAGACAGAAAGTATGAACATTCATATACAATTTGCCAATTTGAATGTGTTGCTGATTCAGGCTAGCTTGTTATCAATTTTAGACCTGTCCAACCAACTCATAAAACTAAAGGTTTGGTATGTTCAAAATAAAATGTATGTCTATAGTTCAAAATACCACTAGCTGAATAAAACACAAAGGTTTAGTGAAGGTAAAACAACAACCAAACTTACCGTCCTTCATGACCTGCTTAAATGGTTTCTTTTCTGTCTCTGATACTGGGTGAATAATTTTTACAGGGATTTTGCACATCTTTCGAATGCGATCTTGTCTTAGAAATGATGCTATTGCTAGACCACACAGGTTTGATGTCAACCAATACAAATTCAAGCCCTGAAACAAAAAAACAAAATCCAAATCAAAGTTGGAAAACACCACAGAAATGCTGGAAACACAAAACCATATATGAACTAGAACTGTCGCCAGAATACCCCTCCATTCTCCTCCCACAAATGCCTGCACCACGATTTGTAGATTTAGTTCTTTCGAGAACATTTTTGAGAACACATGGGCGGACCTCTTTTATTATAGGAGATAAATCCAATTTACATACTTCATTTATATTCACACAAAGTAAAGCTTCTGGAGGGCTAGTGGTAGCAGAATGTCATCAAACACTAATTACATGACAGGAGACAAAATGTTCACAGACATTTTAAGTACTCACAGCTGGGAAATATATCATGATGGGTATCATGATAATTGGTATGGATTAAGTACTCACAGCTGGGAAATATATCTTGACGGGTATCATGATAATTGGTATGGATTAAGTACTCACAGCTGGGAAATACATCATGACAGGTATCATGATACTTTGTATGGATTAAGTAATCAGGGCTGGGAAATACATCATGACGCGTATCATGATAATTGGTATGGATTAAGAACTCACAGCTGGGAAATATATCATGACGGGTATCATGATAATTGGTATGGATTAAGAACTCACAGCTGGGAAATACATCATGACGGGTATCATGTTAATTGGTATGGATTAAGTACTCACAGCTGGGAAATATATCATGATGTGTATCATGATAATTGGTATGGATTAAGTACTCACAGTTGGGAAATATATCATGACGGGTATCATGATAATTGGGATGGATTAAGGACTCACAGCTGGGAAATACATCATGACGGGTATCTTGATAATTCGTGTGGATTAAGTACTCACGGCTGGGAAATACATCATGACGGGTATCATGATAATTGGTATGGATTAAGTACTCACAGCTGGGAAATACATCATGACGGGTATCATGATAATTCGTATGGATTAAGTACTCACGGCTGGGAAATACATCATGATGGGTATCATGATAATTGGTATGGATTAAGTACTCACAGTTGGGAAATATATCATGACGGGTATCATGATAATTGGCATGGATTAAGTACTCACAGCTGGGAAATACATCATGACAGGTATCATGATACTTTGTATGGATTAAGTAATCAGGGCTGGGAAATACATCATGACGCGTATCATGATAATTGGTATGGATTAAGAACTCACAGCTGGGAAATACATCATGACGGGTATCATGTTAATTGGTATGGATTAAGTACTCACAGCTGGGAAATACATCATGACAGGTATCATGATACTTTGTATGGATTAAGTAATCAGGGCTGGGAAATATATCATGACGCGTATCATGATAATTGGTATGGATTAAGAACTCACAGCTGGGAAATACATCATGACGGGTATCATGATAATTGGTATGGCTCTCACAACATATTTTGTATTTGTCCCCACTGTTTTACTTGACACTCCATCAGATCCCAACTGAAAAAGAAAAAAGGATGTTGATCAATCAAAATTAAAAAATTATTAAAAATATTATCAGTTGGACATAGATTGTTTGGCTTAGTCTTAAGTTTGAAGGGGTTCTTTTTCTACAGCATACTGCAAATGAAATGTGTGTATTTGAAACAATGAATGTTATAGTTTTGGCTATTTGTTTCTATGGCAACAGGAAATATGTTTAAAACGAGATTCTCCAATAGCGAAAAGCACAACTAGGGAACTAGTCTGATATGTAGGGAACTAGTCTGATATGTAAAGAAGACAAGTGTGATGAAACACTCCTAATGTAGACAATACAGTAGTGTTCTTGGGTAGATCCACTGGGGCTTCACTAGTGATTCTCACTCGAAAAACTTAAATCTAAAGGAAATTAAAGGACATCAAAGGAATCTCAACACCATAAGAACAGCTATACAGCCATCATCAGGACAATTTTTACAAACAAAAGGCCCAGATGGCCTGAATCGCTAACCTGGATATGTAAACGATCACGACAAAAGAGTTTCAATGAAAGTGGTATGGCAAATAATCTTAGGGTAAGGGCCAGTCCTCTGGGCCAATCCTGTCAGCATATGTGTATTCAAATCTTCATTCTCAGCAATTGTATATATTATAATAGGGTGGAGATCTAAAGGTTTTCATGTTCTGACCCAGGGATGAAGTCCCTTAGGGTGTCGCCAGACCCCAGGGTCAATTCTAATACTATGACTGTATTAGTCTCTTTATGTCCAGCAATTGTACATATAGCTAAAGGGTTGGGATCTCAATAATTTCAAAGTTATGACCGAGTAACAAGTCCTTAGGGGTGTGGTCAGACCTAAGAGTCAATACTAATATCATTATCGTATGTCGCTGTGTGCCTAGCACCTATTTATATGGTTCTGGGGTGGGAATCTCAACTGCTTATGACCAAGCGACTTAGTCTCCATGGGTGGGGTAGTTTAAATCTCTAAGAGCTTACCTCCAATGTAAGAAGAAGTGTTGTGGCAGTGAGGATTATAGTTTAAATCTCTAAGAGCTTACCTCCAATGTAAGGAGAAGTGTTGTGACAGTGAGGATTGTAGTTTAAATCTTTAAGAGCTTACCTCCAATGTAAGGAGAAGTGTTGTGGCAATGAGGATTGTAGTTTAAATCGCTAAGAGCTTACCTCCAATGTAAGGAGAAGTGTTGTGGCAATGAGGAATGTAGTTTAAATTTCTAAGAGCTTACCTCCAATGTAAGGAGAAGTGTTGTGGCAGTGAGGATTGTAGTTTAAATCTCTAAGAGCTTATAATTACCTCCAATGTAAGGAGAAGTGTTGTGGCAGTGAGGACTGTAGTTTAAATCTCTAAGAGCTTACCTCCAATGTAAGGAGAAGTGTTGTGGCAGTGAGGATTGTAGTTTAAATCTCTAAGAGCTTACCTCCAATGTAAGCAGAAGTGTTGTTTAGTGAAGATTGTAGATTAAATTGTTATAATTTTACCTCAATGGAAAGGAGAAGTGTTGCGGAGGTGAGGAATGGCAGGATGAAGAGGGGATCAGAAGTCGTTAGATCAATAAACCACCAAAGACCTCCATCCATCATACTTTCCACTGGGTAATACGCCATCTTTCTTAGACCAATGAATACAGAAAGAAATATTGGCATCTGCAAAGAAAAAAGAAAAAGAAACTTCTAAAAATAGTCAAACCATGTTTAAAGATCCCTGTCTCGTAGTGTCCAAATACACTCATTTTTTTGCATATACAGATAACCTCTACTAAATGTTGTTTTGGATATAACTGTAGCAGTTTTGCTAGGACACTCTCGTTAACCAGGTAACTCACTCAGATTGACCAGGAACATCATCTGTACAAAGGTTATCTTCGGTGTTAATGGCAGACGTGTTCCGAAAAACTCTCCAAAGAAAAGCGAATTCGTAACAAAATGGAAATATGGTGTGATGCTGCATAAGGTATGATGATGTATTTACATATCCGCAATGCCTTGAGTGATGTTTTGACAATATTTGACAATATGTTCGCCATAGAAATGACATTTGAATAACCCATCAACCCCGTGTATATTGTGGCTACTGTGCTATATATAGAAATCTGTACCTAGTTCAACGACGACTATTCATAACGTCTACCACGACCGAAGCGAAAGAGGAGTTGAAAATCAGTGTCACAGAGCTGAAGTGGAGATCGATGAAGTACAATCTAGTGTTTAGTGGGCTACGAGAGGACAGAGATGAAAATACAGAGGGTAAACTGAGGGATTTTCTGACTCACGAAATGGGGATCGATCAGGTTGAGTTGGGCAACGCTCATCATTTTGGAAAATTTGTAATATAGTAGCTAGGTTTCTGTACAACCATGAAAGAGCCAATATTCTCAGAAACGCAAGGAAACTTAAGGGCACACCCTACTATATTAATGAACAATTCCCCCCAGAAATAGAGGACAAACGCAGGCTACTGTACCCAAAACTTAAAGAACTTAGACGAAATGGGCGCCGAGCTAAAGTTGTGAGGGATCGGCTAGTAGTCGACGGGGAACTCTATACAGGGAACACCATAGGTAATACCAGTAGAGCTCAAGGAGATCCACAGAGTGGTAGATATAGAGACAGTCGGTCGCATACCGATGTATTACTAGGTGTTCCGAGTGCTAGCGTTCCTAGTGACAGCGTACCTAGCAACAGCGATCGTGTGCAGGTAGTGACGACATTCCACGTCCATCGCTCAGCTCCATAGCGGAGGGTACAACAACGGCTACAGGCGGTCCCCACGATGTAACACCCCCACCCAAACGAGGGAAGTTCACGAGTGCTAGCTCATGTATAGACCCATCCGATGAGGAGACATTTGTTAAAACAGTATAGGGAAACGTGGAGGGCGGATCTTCTAATGGTCCCAAAGACTATCGACTTAAAATCTTGGGCATTAATGTAAATGGTCTCACCAACAAACTTAAATGTCCAGAATGTCTAGAATACGTCTTGAATTAAGATTTTATTTGTATCACTGAGTCGAAAACTGATAGTGCAGATTCTATAGACATCGACGGCTACACTGTATTTTGTAAGCATAGACAGTCACTGGCCAAAACCAGATCTGGAGGTATTATTGTTTATGTTAAAAATGAATATGTCAGATATATATCTCATTTAAAAACAGACAGCAACCACACATTATGGCTTAAAATGAAAGGTACAATGTTTAACATTGATGGTAACGTTTTATTTGGTACAATGTATATACCTCCGGCTAATTCAAAGTACTCATCATCAGAATTGTTTGAAGATGTTGAAAATGAATTGTTGTCGTTTAGCCATGATGTTAAGTGTATTTGTCTTCTTGGGGATTTTAACAGTAGAACATCCGACTCTCACGATTTTACAGACATCGTTGATGGAGATGATGATGAAAATGATGATATTGGCAGTCCTGATGTAAATAAACTTGAATGTATACATGTACCTAAGGTAAGGTGTTCTACAGATAAGGTACGGAATGATTATGGAAGGCGTTTGTTAGATATTTGTAAACACTGTAATATTTATATTTTAAACGGACGCATGGGAGAAGATAGAGGTATAGGTAAACCAACCTGTAAAAATGCAAGTGTTGTAGATTATTGTATAGGTAATTTTGAATTTATTAAATTAGTAGAAGATTTTTCGATACAAGAATTCTCTTCTTTATTGTCTGATGTACATTGCCCAATTCACATTTGTCTATGTATTAATCAAAATGTACACTTAAATAACAATGGTGATACTGTTGATTCTGAAGGTCAGAGGTTTTTATCAAGACCAAAGAGATGGAATACTGATTCGAAAGATATTTTTGTAAAACATGTGGCTGATAGAAAACTATATATAGATAGCATTATTGATGGTATGGATGACACTGAGAATGTTGTAAATTTGGATTTAATGAATGACACTGTACATAAATTATGTGAAATTTTCATCGGTGCTGCCAAACATGCTTTTGGAAATACCCGCACTAAAAATAATTTCAATTTTAAAAAAACATGGTTTACCAAAGAATGTAAATCTGCTCGACAAAATTACAGAAAAGCCAAAAGATTTTATAAAAGGTATGGGGAAATAAGTTTAAAAGAGGATTTATATGATAAGGAGCGTAAATATCATAAAACACTGAGCACTGCTGTCAAGAATCATAAAACTCAGATTAAAAGCAAATAGAAAAATCTGAGGACTAGCAATCCGAAAGAATATTGGAAAATAATAAATAAGGGCGCTCCAAAGAAAAACACATGTAAGGCAAATATCGATGATCTTTTTGATTTTTTTAGCAAAAGTTTCAATAATGATTTTGATGGTGATGACATCATATACTGTCCCTTGATGAACTCAAAGAGTTGTCTAATCTTGAAACTAATACCTTTATAAATGGTCCAATTACTCCAAGTGAAATTTTGAAATGTGTCAATAGATTGAAATCTAATAAGAATGTTGGTGATGATTTAGTATGTAATGAATATATCAAATCAACTACTGACATAATGCTTCCATTATATGTTAATTTTTTTAACTATATACTTGATTCTGGTAATGTACCAGAAGCATGGCTTATGGGTAATATTATCCCCGTGTTTAAAAATAAAGGTGATATGTATGACGCTAAAAACTATAGACCAATCACACTGGTCAGTTGCCTAGGTAAACTATTTACAGCTGTAATTAATGAGCGTCTAAATACATATGCAGACAATGTCGAACTTATACTTGAAAACCAAGCAGGTTTTCGTAGGCAACATTCTACTATAGATCATATATTTTCTTTATACTCTTTAATTCAACTTTCAAAACAATTCAAAAACCGTATGTATTGTGCTTTCATAGATTTTGAGAAAGCGTTCGACAGTGTCTGGAGAATAGGGTTGTGGAATAAATTAATAACAAATAATGTAGATGGAAAATGTTTTAAAGTTATTGTTAATATGTACAATGGAATTAAGGCTAAAGTTATGAAAGATGGAAAATTCTCCGATATCTTCACCTGTAATTCCGGGGTTAGGCAGGGTGAAAATCTTTCTCCATTTTTATTTTCATTGTATCTAAATGACCTTGAAATGTTTTTAGAATCTAATGATTGTACAGGCCTATCAAATTTGGCGGGAAAACTTGAGAATGAGTTACAAATATATCTCAAGTTGTATGTAATGTTATATGCTGACGACACTATTTTGTTAGCAGACACCCCAGAAGATTTACAAAAACAACTTAATGTGTTTTATGATTATTCAAAATTGTGGCATCTTAAAGTAAATATCGATAAAACAAAAGTGATGATATTTGGCAGAGGGAGAGTATCCCAAAATATACGTTTTACTTATAACAGAAATGAAGTAGAAATTGTGAAAAATTTCAAATATCTTGGTGTTCATTTTACTCAAAATGGTTTCACGCAGTTAAATATTAGACAATTATACGATAAGGGCCTTAGAGCAATGTATGGTGCTATTGCTAAATGCAGAAACCATAATCTATCAATTGACTGTAAATTAGATATTTTCGATAAAGCTATCAAGCCTGTCATGTTGTATGGTTGTGAAGTCTGGGTTTTTTGTGATTACAAACTTTTAGAACGTTTACATTTAAAATTCTGTAAACATATTCTTCAGGTGAAAACATCGACACCCAATTTCATGATTTATGGGGAATTAGGAAGATTTCCTCTGAGTATAAATATCAAAGTTAGAATGATTGGATTTTGGGCCAAATTGTTAGAACCAATACCTAATAAGTTAAGTAATAAAATGTATAAAATTATTATAAACTATAATACTCAATGGTTGAATTGTATTAAAAATATCCTTGATGAATGTAATTTAATAAATATATTTGAAAGTCAAGAATTCCAAAGTACCCAATGGTTGAAAAATACAGTTTTCCATATACTAAAAGATAAATTCATTAATAATTGGAGAAGCGATGTTTTCAATTCATCTAAAGGGACCAATTACAGAATTTTTAAAAATGACTTAGTATTAGAAAAATACCTGCTAGATCTCCCTCCAAGACTAGCAAATGTTTATTGTAAATTTAGAATTTGTAATGTAAAATTTCCTATTGAATGTGGTAGATGGAATAACATTCCAAGAGAAGATAGAAAATGTATGTTTTGTGACCTAAATGAAATTGGAGACGAATATCATTATTTATTTAACTGTAATGACCACCAGATAGTGCAAAACAGAAGAAAATTTATGTCGAGATACTATTTTGAAAGTCCTAGTACTTTAAAGTTTAATACATTATTTAATTATGTCAATAATGAAGAACTAATTTCACTTATAAAATTCCTTAAGCACATAATTGAGCGAATTAATACTGGCCATTAACACCATGATTTATATGTAAACTGTACTATATATATATGTATATAATTCTCTACACTGTAACCAGTTTGCGAGAATAAAAACTTGTCATTGTCATTTTCAGTTAAGAGTGGTAGCATAACAATCTGAGGTCTAGGGTTCGAATCTTGGCCTAGCCAAGCTGAATTTTTACACTCAGAACACTGTGTTTATTATATTTTGTTTAGGTTTGAAAGCTGTATTACTTTCTTTTCAAAACAAAGTCCCAAAACTTTTTCTTTAAAGTCCCAAAAGTTTTGGTTTTCTTTTCAGAAATAATTGATAAAAGCAGCTATATCCATGTTACTGGCAAAATATCACTTCCCTTGACCTTTGAGTTATTCAGAAGAAGATGTTAGAAAATTTGTTGAAACATTTGACACTGGTGACCTACAAAGTGGGTAAAGGTCATTCATTTGAACAAACTTGGATCTCAGCATGCTACTGCCAAAATATCATAACCTGGGCCTTTCAGTTATTAAGTAAAAGTTGTCTAAAGATACATTTTTTAACATTTGACCCCAGTGACTACTGGAAAGTGTCTGAAGGTCATTTATTTGAACAAACCTGGCGACCCTTCATCCCAGCATTGTACTGAGAATATACCATCACCCTTGGCCTTAAGGTTATTGAGAAAGAGTTAATTAAAAGATTTCAACACACCCACATTGATCTGCCCTGCATCCATTGCTCATTGATATCCTACACTGGGAAACACTAAACAGCAAAAAAAATCAATTCTACGACTTAATCTTCCTAATTTTACCAGTTTACTTCAACTAGCATTAAATTTTACAAAACACAATCTAAATCATAAATTCATGACCTAACTTAATGACGTACCATCTAAATAATATATGCATGGACTAACTTTATGATGTACCATCTAAATCATATCTGCATGGCCCAAATTACGGAAACACTCTCTAAATTAGCGGAGCACCATTTAAATTTAAAAACCATATCCATGTAATCGGGACATGGACTAGTTTTCAGAAACAACAACCAATTTTCAGGAACAACAACCAATTTTCAGGAACATAACACCTCATTTAAGATTGTGCCTCTGTTCCCGAAAACTAGTCATTGGCATCCGGAAATTAAGTCGTTGTCCCGCTCACTCGCGCAGCTGTATTCCCTTTGATGAAGCCGCGCTCCGACGAAGCTCGTACAGGGGAGGCAGTCTATAGTCCCTGCCTTGCTGGCCGTGTTGTCAGTATAGCTATGCAAACACGGCCGCTCTTATTCCGTAATCCAAACGAAATAATACCACAGGTCGATAGTACACTTATATTTACTTCGAATGAAATAAATAAAGACAACGGAAATAATGCTTATTTTGTACTACGGCCAGGGTTAGGATCGAAATGAACGACCATTTGAGAATGATGCATAACTTTTACCGTATTGCTGAACTGGTGCTTTGATACATCACTCCAGAGACACATAAAGCCAGTATATACGTCTCTGATCACTCATATAATAATCAAAGACACAATATGAACTCTCAATATTAACGATATTTAATAACGAACAATAAGTACGTCCCGATGTCGTATACAACTTATATTACGTAAACTATATCCCTTGGCTCCGTTTGGTCCGAGTTGTTAATTGTCCAGTATTTATTGATCAATTCGTGCAAATGATGAACCGATTGTGTAAATCATAAACGAACCACTGTATATATATATGTTAAGACAGTTTATGTTCCTACTTTGCTTCATATACCTTTCAATCGTTTTTAATGTTGTTAATAATTTTGTGATTTATATAATCCTCTTAGTAAGGGGATTCCCGATCACCTGTCCTCTAAGCTTTTGATTTCTATTGTATTTAACATAAATGTATTTTATTCATATTTGGGTTTTTTAATCATTACTTATATAATTGTAACAAGAGGCCCATGGGCCTTAACGGTCACCTGAGTCTACAGTATTTTTTTTTTTTGTTAAAATATGTACCAATTTGAGTAAAAAATAGTATAATGTTAACTTAAGATCAGCCTATTAGAATTTAGTAGCAAAATAGCGGCCATGGCACCCAAATTGTATTTCTGATTGACCCTAAAAATAACAACACTTTGTCAGGACCATGAGCTGATTATTCCTACAAAGTTTCAGTTCAATCGGCCTAGCAGAACTTGACTTTAAGTTTGAAATAGTTTTTCAAAATGGCGGCCGTGGCGGCCATATTGGATTTCTGAACGACCCGAAAAATAACAACACTTTGTCAGGACCATGAGTCTATGGTTCCTACAAACTTTAAGTTCAATCGGTCCAGCAGAACTTCGACTTTAAGTTTGAAATAGGTTTTCAAAATGGTGGCCGTGGCGGCCATATTGGATTTCTGATTGACCCAAAAAACAACAACACTTTGTCAGGACCATGAGCTGATCAATCCTACAAAGTTTCAGTTCAATCGGCCTAGCAGAACTTGACTTTAAGTTTGAAATAGGTTTTCAAAATGGCGGCCGTGGCGGCCATATTGGATTTCTGATCGACCCGAAAAATAACAACACTTTGTCAGGACCATGAGGCGATCATTCCTACCAACTTTCAGTTCAATCGGCCCAGCAGAACTTGACTTTAAGTTTGAAATGTAAAATGTTAACGGACGACGGACGACGGACGACGGACGACGACGGACGAAAACGGATAGCAATAGGTCACTTGAGCTAAAGCTCAGGTGACCTAATTAAATGGAACTTTATCTTTCCTGTACTGTCATAAGAATATCCCTTCTGAGTTAATGTTTCATGTTATAATATTTAAGGTTTAACTTTCTATTTAGTTTAGGTTATCGGGTGATAAATAAACGGCAAAGCCGATAAAGATAAATTAATTTACCCAGGTTCCATTGTAGTTATCACCCGATAACCTAAACTGAATAGAAAGTTAATCCTTCTATTTAAAGCCTTTTTTTTTTTACATAAAATGCGTCCTTTTACCGTAACATTCCATTCAAGCCCGATGTGTGATACGGTTACGCTTCACCAACAAAATCGGCTGCATTTCTTCAACATAAACATCACATCAGTGTGTATGTTCGATCTTAAATTTGTAATCATAACTCTAGCGATAATTCTTACTTCAATCACAGATTAAATAAGTCTGTGCTTCAATTGTTTGTGCGGCTAAACCTTATTTCATTGCTCAATCTTCTAATTATGACATCAAGTAACAATGCTTTCCAATGTAAACTTCCATTGTGACGTAACAGTTCATTGCCATTTTCCCCAAATCGCAAACAGAAATAATGTATTCCCAAGAGAAACAATTGGTTTTCTAGATATAATATCTGAAAGTTGTGGGAGAAAAAGGTTCCCAAACTAGTGATGGCTGATTATCATGTTTATGTAACTCTCATCACTTTATTTGCAAATTGAAAAAATTGGAATAAAAATGTTGGTAAACCAACACAATTATCCGGCAACAGAGAGATCCAACGTCCTACGGACAATGGTCTGTGTTCTGACTGGTACAGGAATCAGAGGTGGATACCACAAGGTATTCAAACAGAGCTCCATCCAACAGGTAAATCCTACCTTACTGGCCATCATTTTATTCAAATTGTTTAAGAAACTTGAAAACCTATTGTCTTTATAAATTTGAAAATTTACTAATTCAAGTTAGATAAACGTGATAAGCATGTGTTGTGGAACCTCTGTGTATCCCACTCCACACACTAAATATAGATAATTAACAGCAGTGTATACTTTATAGTATGGATGTTTGAATGACAGCTTTCTCATTTCATCAGATTTTATTGACTTTATATATGTCAATTGGATTGGACATCAGGCTAGGCCTATTTAAGTCCTTTCCAAACTTGTTTACAAACATTACATATATTCTGTCATAACAATCCAATTAAACAGTGCAGGGGAGATAACTTCAATTTAGCTTGTGAAATGAGTAGTGATGTGTTGAGTGACAGCTTGACCAGTTGTCCACAAGGAAATGGATATGATGATCAAGGAGTTATACTTAGTTACCTTAACTCATTCACCCCTGAAGACACATTTGAACTCTTCGAATTGAAAGGTTGGAATAGTTCATTATAAAATTTCAGGGGTGAATGAGTTAATGCAGTGCTGAACGCATCAAAGAAGAAAACGGCTATGTTTCTCATCCCTGTGATAAAAAGATATAGCCCAGGGCTCCTAGCTGTACAATACCTGTAACATAGGATACATCATGGATCTCAATGGATTGGTGTTCGTTTCCTTCATGAATCTTGTTAATTGCAAATTTGCTCTTGCATCTGAAAGAAAATAGATTGATACATTAACAATAACAAGTCAGCAGATTTCTGTGAGGCTCTATGCTCCAGAAATACTTGCAGCTTAACCAGCAAATATTCAGGTCGGAATTTAAAAGAAGAATTGTTGGTTTCTTTATTTAATATTCTATCATTTACACTGTCGCTCTTGCTTTGACTTTTTGTAGCTATATCTCTTCATGATATTTTGTGATTTGCTCGAATCACAATAGAGAAGTAAACAAAACGAAAACAAACTTGCTTTCTGTGTTTGCATACTTTTGTCAAGCTTTGTAATGAACCTATGTGTCAAGAAAGTTGACTGATCAGTTAGATATTTCAGGCAGATGTTGAAATGATCACTACAATGGACTATACTACTTATTATAAATGGATTGTTGACACAGTCTCAGCAACCAACCTCTTGTTGTGACAAATACCGAGAAATCAAGATGAGAAAGACAACTAAAACTTCAATCGATATTGTCGGACAATGTCTTTAATATCTATAATAATGATATGTATGAAGTATCCTATTGATTCAACATGATTTGCTACTGACAATTACTGACATTTTTCACTTGCTCGGTTGGACAAGTAATAGCGACATTTAACTTGTACACGAGGTAAGACTTGCTCTAGGCAGTCGGGCATTAGTGCTTATTGTCAAGTCCTGGAGGAGACACATCAGAAGAGGGGATATAGCATGAAAATCTCTCTATCTACGTATGATTACGAAAGACAAAGACCCAATGTGATAACATTGTGATATTCGTAATGACTTACACTGTTCCATGTTTTTATTTAACTTGGCCTCGGAGAGCTTTTCCTGCAGTTTATCCATCTTGGGTTTATGGTTCATACTGTTTGCCGTAACCCTTTGAGACAAAACCGCCAATGGGATGGACAGTACTCGTACTAAAATGGTAGCTGCAAATAATAAGAAAACATTGAATGAAAGCAAATATGATGGCTATACAATACTTGAAACTTTTAACTAGACAAATATAGAAAGCTTTTCGAGAACATACAGATGTGTCTCCTTTAAATCCTTAATGATGCTTTGCTTTATTTGACCTCTTACCTGAGGTGAAGCTCATGGTGACCTAAATACTGACCAGTGCACACCATCTGTTGGTGATGCATCTGCATATTTTATATATAATACTGCAAGTTTCCGTAAGTAATATTTATCGAGTTAGAACTTGTAGCCTGGAGAATATACATGTACCATAAGAAGAATTATTATATGACTGGTGCTAATTCCCAGCCCTGATTGGAGGAGCGACGTCATGTGACGAGTCTGTAAATATGTTATAGACCTCTTTCTATGAAAAGAATAGAAAAGTGTCACAGACTGCTACTAAAAATAGGCCTAGGTAATTTCCCAGCCAGTCTGTAAATCTGTTACAAATTACACTACTGAATTCAACTACAAATGAATTGTCTGATCAAATTCTGAACTATGTGATGTTATTGATGATGTCGATTGTGCAAATTGTGTTTATTTTAAATTAAATATGACATGATTTGATGAATTGTGTTTGTTATTTTGTATTTAAGCCCTTCAATCTGTGATTCCAAATTGGTCTATGCAATCCATGTGGTTATGACTTGAAAAATGATTAATCCATTGTAAAATGACATATAATAAAACAATTGTGGACTTCAGTTTCAGTCTATCCCTGATTTAAGGACCTGGTCTAAACAATATTCACAGAGGCCGAATATTGTTCAGATCAGGTCCGTCAATCAGGGAAAGACCTCACCTGAGGTCTATAATTGTATATTGTGGTTCTGTATCTTTTATGACGCCAGGTCATGATCTAATTTGTTTTTGAAATTTTAAGCAAAATATTCAAAAAAGATTAGCGCGAAGCAATACATAATATGCCCATCATAATTCAACATACCTGGTACATCAATTAGTCCAATAAAACAGCATGGAATGCATGTAGTATTGCATTAAGGAAACCAAGGGTAATAAGTCTATTAATTATGGTAAGATAACTGTGATTACAATCAACCCACTGAATATTACTTTGATATTGAGAGGACACCATTTCGGAATTTGAATAAAGGGACATAACTCTGTAACTTAAAGTCAGATAATGGTAGTTATCAAAAACATCTGAGGTCTCGCGGTAATTCACCTTCTCATGAAGTTTGAAGTTAATCTGTTGAAAATAACTTGAAGTATAAAGTCGACACTGTTTTAGCAATTCATTAAAAGGGGCATATCTCAGTATATAACTGTCAGATAAATCCTACCTAACTGGCCATAGGCTGTCAGATCAGAGGTAAATTCTACCTTACTGGCCACAGGCTGTCTGATCAGAGGTAAATTCAACCTTACTAGCCATAGGCTGTCAGATCAGAGATAAATCCTCCCTTACTGACCATAGGCTGTCAGATCAGAGTTAAATCCTACCTTACTGACCATAGACTGTCAGATCAGAGGTAACTTCTACCTTACTTACCAAAGACTGTCAGATCAGAGGTAAATGCTACCTTACTGGCCATAGGCTGTCAGATCAGAAGTAACTTCTACCTTACTGGCCATAGGCTGTCAGATAAGAGGTAAATCCTACCTTACTGGCCATAGGCTGTCAGATCAGAAGTAACTTCTACCTTACTGGCCATAGGCTGCCAGATAAGAGATAAATCCTACCTTACTGACCATAGGCTGTCAGAACAGAGGTAAATTCTACCTTACTGGCCACAGGCTGTCAGATCAGAGGTAAATTCTATCTTACTGGCCAAAAGCTGTCAGATCAGAGGTAAATCATACCTTACTGGCCATAGGCTGTCAGATAAGAGGTAAATCATACCTTACTGGCCATAGGCTGTCAGATAAGAGGTAAATCCTAACTTACTGGCCATAGGCTGTCAGATCAGAAGTAAATTCTACCTTATTGGCCATAGGCTGTCAGATAAGAGGCAAATCCTACCTTACTGGCCATAGGCTGTCAGATCAGAGGTAAATCCTGCCTTACTGGCCATAGGCTGTCAGATCAGAAGTAAATTCTACCTTACTGGCCATAGGCTGTCAGATAAGAGGTAAATCCTACCTTACTGGCCATAGGCTGTCAGATCAGAGGTAAATCCTACCTTACTGGCCATAGGCTGTCAGATCTGAGATAAATTTTACCTTACTGGCCACAGGCTGTCAGATCAGAGGTAAATTCTACCTTACTGACCATAGGCTGTCAGAACAGAGGTAAATTCTACCTTATTGGCCATAGGCTGTCAGATAAGAGGTAAATCCTTCCTTACTGGCCATAGGCTATCAGATAAGAGGTAAATCCTTCCTTACTGGCCATAGGCTATCAGATAAGAGGTAAATCCTTCCTTACTGGCCATAGGCTATCAGATAAGAGGTAAATCATACCTTACTGGCCATAGGTTGTCAGATCAGAAGTAAATTCTCCCTTACTGGCCACAGGCTGTCAGATCAGAATTAAATTCTACCTTACTGACCATAGGCTGTCAGATCAGAGGTAAATCCTACCTTACTGGCCAAAGGCTGTCAGATCAGAAGTAAAAAATATCCGGAAAATTGGTCCGCATGCCGTTTTTACTCGTTAGTCACCCAAGTCCCGAAAACGTTTGAATAAAGGTTAGGATTGAGATACAGGCAAGCGTTAAAATGATTATGACTTATTAGTCTTGTGTACAAATGGCGCTCATTTCAGTACAAATAAGGAATTGGGTGATCGTTATTCCTGTCTGGAACATCGTGGGGGGATTTTCGGAGGCTTGCTCTATGACGGGTCTCTACACAACTATAAAAAGAAAAGGTAATGTCCACAATGAACGTTTTACAAACTACACAATAAAAAAAAATTGCCCTCGTCTCGTTTTTGCCATGTAAAATGAAAAAAAAAATGCCGCCCTGCCACATCTATTTTGAAAAAAATTGGCCTGAGAACCAAGTTATTAATTTTATTTGGCCTTACTGACCATAGGCTGTCAGATCAGAGGTAAAGTCAACCTTACTGGCCATAGGTTGTCAGATCAGAGGTAAATCCTACCTTACTGACCATAGACTGTCAGATCAGAGGTAAATCCTACCTTACTGACCATAGGCCATTAGATCAGAGGTAAATTCTACCTTACTGACCATAAGCTGTCAGATCAGAGGTAAATTCTACCTTACTGGCCAAAGGCTGTCAGATCAGAGATAAAATTCTACCTTACTGGCCATAGGCCATCATATGCTGTCAGATCAGAGGTTACTGTTATTGTTCCAGACATAAGCTGTTGGATTACGAGGTTATTGCTACTTCAGTTTTGAGATCATTACCAATAATGCCTGCAATTTACTTACATACAAGTATTGCTTCCCACCAGGGCATACCAACACCGACATGAAGAAACTCGAGGCCATGTTGATACAAGCCTGAAGGGGTGTAATTTCCTAGTCCCATACTAGCTAGAGAGGGTTCTCCGAGTGCATTCACAGTCTGTGACACATCGATAACATCAGGCAGAGATGGTGGCTCCAGTATATAACCAGAAGTGGCCGGGGTTGTCTGCAAAGGAACATAACAAATTTTGTATTTGGCATGCATGATGCTGAGACATGATGTTGGAATATGTATGTTAAGACAAAATGTAACTGGACACATCAGGCAACAGCCTGGTCTGATGTTTCAACAAAACATATTTTGTCCTCGAAACCGACTCAATAATCGCATAACATATTCCATCAGAAAGTGGTTTCTAGATATAATTATCCAATCTAAGCACACACATTGATAAAGCAACAGGAATAATCAACTCTATGGAAATCTCCATGAGTTATATTTTATACCCCTTGTGTTTACATGAACAAAAATATTTATGTCTCTGTAATTTGTTTATCAAAATTTGGAAATTGCACAAATAAGGACCAAGTGGGTCTATGTTTGCTCAACTATATTCTTTTTTAAATTTTATTAGAAAGAGAAAGTCTTCTCTACTGACTTTTTATATCCTTATACATGTTTCAATTGATGTTGCAGAAAACACTAACAATAGACAGCATATTCATCACAATATCAAGTGATTGTTGATACATAAAAGCAATGGTTGATATTGCTCTGAACTGTATATTTCTGTATTTGAGGTTAAAGGGGAAAAAACATCAGAGGTCAGGATGACTTTATTTTGGTATACCGGTACATGTATGCCACAGTGCATTCTCATTTTGTACCTTCATAAGCAAATTTGATGTCTATACATACATAAAAAAGTTAATGACCCAGATATGCTCCGGAAAATGGGGCAAGCAAACACTATAACTCAAGACTTTTTCAATGTGGCAGGGGTTGAAAATAAGTATTTGTGGCCACAAAGAATGTTTCCCAAGCGACCAAAAATTTAATTGCTAAATCAAAAACTTGCTGGCATAACTTTGTTCTTTTCATCGAAAATAATATGAACAAACATCTAGACACATGAAAGCAGTTATTGTTAAAGACAACTATCAATGATGCATTTAGGACAATAAGGAAATCTTTTAGACACATCTTGGGGAATTAATTTTTCAGAGAGGTAAAAAATTGACTTACATAAATGTTTGAGTGAGAGACATTTAAGCAGGAACATTCTTAAAATCAACATACATTTTACTGGTAGAAATGTACTAGTTTCAAACCCTGAGCGAGTATGAATACATAGTGTACCTGTGTGGCATCTGTACTATTGTAGCGTTGTCTTTGTGCAGAAAGCACACTCCAGGTTGGTCCCACACCATAACGACTGGATATTAGCCCTGCACTTAATGGACTGCTTTGAGTACCTGTGTCATGGAACTTCTTTAAATTTGTTGGATGGAACCATCTTTTCTGTATGGTCTGAAATGTATCAAGTGAAATCTGGATTAACATATCAGAAATTCAGTTTCTTTTGATTTATAATATTCTCTTAAGTTTGATAATTTCTATTGTCACCCATGTAAAATACTAGCCGCTTCCTACCGACTCCGCTAAGGAGAATTTCTCTTTAGCTCATTCGGTAGAGCGTAAGACTATATAAAGCAAGCCAGAGTTTGACTCCTGGCAGAGGCATTGAAAAAATAATTACCTCTGCTAGTCATTGGCACCCATGTAGGGACCGGGAGATTTAATAAAAATACTTAGCAATGCTGATGCTTACAAAGGAATCGCTACGACACTTGGAAAACTTGGGACAACTTCTTTCCTGGAGGGGGAGTATGTCACTCCGGTTATACAAGCTGCTTCCTACCAACTCAGCTAGGGAGAATTTCTCTTAAGCTCATTCAGTAAAGCGTAAGACTAGTAAGCCAGAGGTCCCGGATTCGACTCCTGGAGGAGCCATTGAAAAAACAATGACCTCTGTGTTACACTATAATTTATTAAATATAAATATACAAAATTTGATTTCAACCAAGCTCATATCTCGTGTGTCCGGCTCAGTTTGAACCTCAATTCTAAGTGTGCATATATTTAGGCATAAATGATTTTCAACCACTGTAGTGCAGTTACCAGGTTACAGTACGATACTCTGATCACTAATGCAACACATATTGCCTGCGCCTTCTATTAAACAAAATAAAGACTAAGGTCTCTTTCCCGTTTCGGGTTTATCTGTTTTTAATCGTAACATTTTCGTGTTTGAATCCTGGCAGACTTGCAAATGTTTATGTAGGCCTTGTTATGTTTTCTGAAGGCCTGCCTGTTAGCAGCATCAGAATACTAGGTCCAACCTTTTTTTATAAACAAACAAATCTGGTTGAACCGGTTGGATCGCGATAAATGAATGCGTCCTAAGTGAAGCATGCACTCCCATACTCAACCTAGCACAAGTGTTCTATCTATATGTTATACTCCACAGAGACCAAAATGGCTTTAATGTGGAGGTGTTAACAATTGAGCCACGTGCTTCTGCATAAATATGTAAAAGTATGACATAGTCTTCAAATTCCCTACCCTTATATATTCACATTACAGTAGGGTAGGGCTGACCTAGTCTGCTAAAACTGACCATAATACAGGTCGTTCCGGCCCCCGAGTTGTTCTGTCCATAGTCGTTCCGACCTTAGTAGTTCCGGCCCCTACCCGGTCCAGCCCCGTATACTTAGTCGTTCCGGCCTCATATATTATATATATGATTCATATTTATTTGGAATTAAATTTTAAATTAAATTTATTTATATAATGGATAATTCATGTTACTTATTCAAATAAATAAAATTAAAAATTGTACATTTGTTGACTTTTCATTTTACATGTTGTCTAAAACAAAATACACCTGTGTAAATATACGGAGTAAGATTGCTTTTAAAGACACATTACAATCATTCTTTTGTTTATTTTATAACCTCGTGCGTTTGAAACTGTATGGCTTCTAGAAAACGCTGTGTAAACACCATGCGTGTATAGTCTACCGACGTTTTTACTTTTAGTTGATGAAAGACGTTGAATTTTTTTGTCATCACATCTTGTTAAAATCGATCTTCGTCGATCTTCCTAGTGTGAAGATGCAAATTTGTATGATTTCAACTAAACAGACAGTCGGCAACTTGAATAGAATAATTTTAATACGGATATCGGCATTCCTCCGGGCTGTGTCCAAGCTTTGTGCCCCAGGGTTTCCAGAGAGAAGTGTGTTAATGACAATGGACAAATAGTATTGTGAATTAATTGTGATCGAAAATTGTGAAATTTAATATCGGTAATGCTATATATATATGTTATTAATTCATGTTCTGCTACATAATTAATAATGTATGAAAGTTAAATGTGTTTGGTCTGTCGTAATAATATGTGGACATATGTCATAATCTATTTTCACGAGGTATATTGTACTTTTCTAAACTAAGTTCGTAATTATTAAGAAATACTGTAAGCTAACTTATTTGCTATACTGTAAGCTAACTTATTTGCTATTTATTAAATATATGTTGTTATTGTTGATTGCATTAAATATTAAATAATGAACAAAATGTATCATGTTTTTTCTCGTCTTTTGATCAATGTATGAATAACTGTTACATCCGAATTTATATAAACATTCGATCCATTCATAAAACATAACAATGGTGGATATGTAAAGGAAAACGTAAACACTATATAGAGCCGGAACGAATAAGGGGCCGGAACTGCTAGGGACGGACCGGGTAGGGGCCAGAACTACTAGGGGGCCGGACCGGGAGAGGCCGGAACGACTTGATACGGACTAGGTGCCCGTGACTGAACCAAACTAGGCAACATATCGTCATATATGTTAAGAAGCCGCTGGTGGTCTATTTTTTTTCGGACATTATCGCGCGGAGTACGATAGCGCTTGTCAAAAGTATTTCGCCGTGTAACCTCTAACATTGATGGAGTAAGCAACATAATTAAAATGTTGATTATAAAGCTATCTGCATCGCATACACTGTAGTTGCCAACAATTAGAAATACGATTGATATAAGTATTTACATTCAATCTACCCTCTTTCAATGCAGTTTCATTGAAATGCCCAACTGAGCTCTGTCCGCCAAGCAAATTGATCCATTTTGACGTAAAACCGGTACGCACATGCCGGAGAGCCGCCATGTTGCTTAAGCTCTCTAAACCATGCTAAGTGCTGTTGTTGTTTAATATGTAGGATTTTATCACTATGTCTTAGAAAGTGTATAACTTAACTAACCTTAAATAAAATCTTGCATTATATCATATTTATTTGTATCAATCGAAATTAACGCAAATTAGCAAATGATTGGTTTAGAGATTAACTTTAAACAAGAGGCATATTTGGCCTGCTTATTCGTGTCGTATTTCAAATGAATTGCCTAGTTATTTTATGTTCAAATTCGGCATCCGCATTTGCAAGCCAATTAGGCTTTTGTCCTGAAATAACACTATTAAAAAATAAAAGTTCCATCTAGTTTTTCCACATCTTTTATTCCTTGACCGGTTGACATATTGGTGAGATCGGGGCAAACACCCTGATAGTTTCGTTCTTGAATAAACATTTACAATTTTGAGGATCTTAATTATCAGTTCACTTGACAGGAAGAAACATTCACACAACAATTACTTATAAAAAAGTACCGAAATGTCAACAAATAATTCGAACGCTTAATCGTTTAAACTAGGACAAACCATGAACAAAAGAGATATTTACGTGGATACTCTTGAAAAAGTGCAAGGAAAATAAGACCATGCGTTCCTAAAGGGTACGCGTATTCTGCTTCATCGACGACACCTGATAGTGGAAACGTACGGAGAGAAATGAACATGTTGTGAACCGTGTGTAGATTACCGTTGAACTTTACTTGCTAGAGTTAATATACCTCATGTCCATTTACTATACAAGGGGACTTTGTCTAAATTAGGGTTATATTTATACACACATCAGTCGATCCATGTTAGTCCATTTCCTAAAATGTACTATAGTTATAATTGTCGTGTTTATGCTCATACCTCTAACAGACTGTTGGCTTCCAGGAACCGTAGCCGCGCACTATGAATAGAATAAATGAGTTCCATGGAGAAAAATTCAATAAATGTCTGGAATCTGATTCGGAGATAATTGCATGTCAGATGATAGCTAGGAAATTATGTTGGGTACATCCGAGAAGCAATTTTGAGAAATATGTTTTGGGTCCTTAATCAAGTTGCTATGCTGTTATTGCTGTTTTGTACATCGAAGCAGGGTTGTGAGCTTGTCCATTGTAATGGGTCTGTGTGGTTCCAGTGCGACACATTCTGCAAAAACAAAGTGCTGTCGAGTCTCTGGCGCCTGGTTGGAGAGTTTGCATCTATCGTTTACTTAATTGGTGTGAATTGAACGCAGTCCTGTTTGATTGTAAAATTAAATTCCAGCTAATAACCTGACCTTGACCTCAGCTCGACATCCATCCATTGTGTTTGGTCTCACAGTCGTGTAGATTGTATGGTTTTCTTAGCTTGATAGACGTCTTGTTGATATACCTATATAAGTTATGCTTTCAGAGGAAGTTCTTATTTCCAATCAGATTATGTTTTTTTCTGCTATATGGCTAACCGTAGCATGCATGGCTTCCCATTCTGCCTAGGGTGGAGAGTTTGATAGCAGTGGGTATGCAAATTGGAGGCCATTTTGTGAGATTATTTTTTTTTTTATGTTTTAACAAATTTTATTATATATATAAATAAACATATATAAATGGATCAGATAACAGGCTAGGCGATTAATTTCACATCTCATTGTCTGTAGAAGATCCGGAATTCGAGGGATTTTTAGTTCCTCGTGACGTAATGAAAGACGTTCAGAATGTGTGTTTTTTTGTGTTAAGTTACGTAGTAGCAAGATAATGTGGTAGGAGTTATTGAGTTTTCCTCTGGGAGGCTACAATGTCTTACTGTTTCAAGTCGAGTGTTGTTGTACCGACGATTTGGTTTGTGCTGCGCGCCGTATGCCGATCGAGGTGTTCAGTATCTACTCTTACTTTAATTTCTTCGTCATGTAGCTAGCGTGAGCGGACTGCAGTTCCTTATTGCTGCCTTGGGTTGGTTCTGTATCTGTTCTGGGTGCTGAACTCTTCCACAGTGTTCACCATCACCCCCATCTCTATGTCAGAGTTAAAAAGTAGAGCTAGGTCGTCTGCACAATTGGTACGTGGTATTCTGGTGGTACCTATGGCTGCTCCGAAGCAGGCTGTCGTAGTACATTTTATAGTGACCTGTAGACATAACTCCGCCTTGTCGTATCCCTTGTAGTATATTGAAGGTTTTGGAATTATGTCCCTGACATTTGACAGACACGGAGATGTTCTCATATACAGGTCTGTGAGGCTAGATTTGATGGTTAATCACATCACAGGCTTTTGGGGTATTAGGCGTGGTGACTAGTAATTTCCATTGGTTTGCTTTGGCTTCGAGAATGCAGTTGTGATGAGAAGGCCCGAGTTCAATGTGGATATAACCTTGCTAGGATTGTTCGTAAGACCCATCTTATATATGATCATCCACACCGGACTCCAATATGTTTTAAAGGATACATACATGTACCTATATACTGAAGTTCGGTTATGGACATCACGTGCACATGTCTAATAAAGTTTGTTATACGGAACGCCAAATTAGCATATATAGGTACAATTCAATTGAAGATAGGTACAATTCCATTGAAGATAGGTCAATCTGATTAAAATCATCTGTTACATGGCTCCGCCTGAACATCTGAATATGCCGCGGTCAGGGTCACGTTCAAGTGACCTTTAGATGAACCAATCAGAGGCGCGCTGGCAAAAGTTTGCCATCGAATCGGAATATCATGGTTGATTAATAAATAGCGAGGGGTATCGAACAGATTAGTTTCCAAAACGAATATGGCGGCGGGGACTGACGTTTCTACGACGCCAAGGAAAACGTACCCATTGGGTAATAATTGCGTAGGCAACACCGCCATACAGTCTTTCTTCTAAGCCCTTTTGAAAGAGGGTCTCTGATTGGTCAAAATTTAATGAGTATTTATAAATATAAAGGTCACCTGAACGTGACCCTGACCGCGGCACACTCAGATGTTCAGGCGTAGTACGAAGTTAACGAAGCCATGTGACATGTGATTTTAATCAGATTGAAGATAGGTACAATTGAATTAACGCGTTAAAAATACTTATAACGCGTTAAATGCTATCACGTTAAATATAGACCTGTTTTTTTCAGGAATCCTATCAACAGTGGATTACTGTTATCGTGTTGGCATTGACAGGGATGCTGACACAATGGACACACTATACAAACGTGCTTGTTTTATAGAATATTGTATTACTAATCTTATCGTGGATGAAGGATTATTTTGGCAACGAACCATATAACCATGCCACATAACATTACTTAGGCCTAACGTTTATGCAGGCAAGTTCGTCACATTAGTAAAGGTTTCAGTTAATAATTTGTCTAAATACCAGTTAGTACAGAAGAACATTTGACTGAAATGCCTATAAATAAACATTGTTGTAAACACGCCTGAATGACGTCACGCAGCAACATTTGTGACGTCATTAGTCCTTCCGTGTTTTTGCTCAAAGGTGCAGGAGTTTCGCCATCTTCAAACATTTCACTAATTTGAAAGTAATTTAAGTGTTTAAATGTAACATATTGTATGTTTATGCTTCACAAGTCGTACTGATACGAACAGCTCCAAATGTGTGTGTGTAACAATGATTAACATTCAAATAAATGTTTTTTCTTAGTTGTGACTTTTGTATTATTTGTCACATGAACGGGAAACATCAGACGATAATTAAAAATCTGATCGCTTTACCTAGATTGTAGGATAAACATTCCGCTGGCCCTATATGATGCATGTAAATTTCGTTGTTTTGAACTGGTTGTTATTCACCTATTGGAGGATATATTGGCAAACAATATATATACCATTAAAAAGCGTGATTTTTTGCTCTTTCAGATGATATAAAAATTATCTGTATTTAACGTAGATTTATAAGCAAATGACATTGGTTAATCTTTTATAAAACTAGTTTGTTAACTGAAAAACGGCTAACTTTTTGTTAACAAATAACTAGCAGTAAATTGTAGACAATGTAATTGGTACATATATTGTTAAACGTCATGAGGTAGAAGCTCACGGTCACTAGATACAAACGAAACATAAAACATGACAAGAATCTGAATTTGCGAATTTCCATAAAAACGGTACACTTTTTGTTTAAAGTAACGCAAGGAATATTTACGAAAAGTTTCCATGTCACAGGGTCAAAGGTCAAGGTCGTGGACACTTGGGAAGACTGAAATTGCAAAGTTCCTAAAAAACAGTACACTTTTGATACACACATACATCGACACTTTGGAAGACTAAAAATGCAAAATTTCCCTAAAAAAAGGTACACTTTCTGTATATACGAAAAATGTTTTGGCAAAGTTTCGCAGTCATGGGGTTAAAGGTAAATGTCACTGACACTTCAGACGACAAAAAATGCTCAATTTCTCATTTACGGTACACCTTTTGTATACGCTTCTACATTTGCAAAATTGTAGAAAATAATATTTCAGCAAACTTGTAAGGTCACGTGGTTAAAGTTCAGAGTCACAGACACATCAGGCCACTGAACATGCTCATTTTCTCCAAAAAAAAGTAGACTTTTTGTTTACACATATATATTAAAAAAAATGAAGGTAATTGTGCCAAGATTATTTTGACGAAATTTCAATTTTCTCAGAAACCTAGGACCCATAAAATCTAGTTGCGGAAACAGGCGAAGACAGCTGGGAATTTAATAGCTTCAAAAAATAAACTAGTTCTGAAACTTAATGTGTGAATGATATTTTGTTGATAGGTCATATTATTCACATCAATGTAATTGTTTAGACTACAAAACTTGAAGAGAGATGTGGAACTAGGGAGCCGAGGGCAGAGTTTCTGACCGATGACCTATCTGAGAACATAATAGCGGCTGTAAAGTCCATGGAGCAGGAACTACTGTCTTCTTGTCGCGATTTAGGTATGGTACACATAATAACTCCGACAGTACTTAGGTATGGTACACATAATAACTCCGACAGTACTTAGTAGCTGGTTTACGTAAGAGGTGGTGGGTGCCGGAACTGACCACT